AAAAAAAAAAAAAAAAAAAAAAAAAAAAAAAAAAAAAAAAATACAATAAAATAACCTGTGTAACTTAAACCCACATAATACTAAATTATACTAAATTACATTTGCCCGTATAATTTTAATTTACTCTAGGTCATCGTACCTCTGCCAGTTTCTGATGGTCCCATTGGTCTTTCCATCATGCTTCCAACCATCTCCCAGTTCATATCTTTAACATCCAGATATTTTTTCTGCAGCCTTCACTATTATTTTGATTTTTTCTGTTTTTTTTGTCGTCTGAGCAGTACAATTAATCACTTCCACCATGAAAAGAACAAAATTTGTCTTTTTAACAATTAGTGAGTCTTCATCAATTTTTGGAGATTTCTCTAGAGGTTTGAAATTTGCCGTGTGTTGAACTGTAGGTTTGGGTTTTTCTGACTGAGATGGGATCCTTTTTGCAGCTTCAGCATAAGTTATTCCAAGCTCAAATTTCATTTTTTTTATTTCTTCAGACCTTTTGCTTGCTTCACAGCCGCGATAAGCAGCAGTATGTTCTCCACCACAATTACAGCATTTTATTTTAGCTTCTTTTCCACATTTACCATATTCATGTTCTCCTGCACACCTTCCACACCTCTGTTTCCCTTTACAAACTGCTGCAATGTGTCCGAATTTTTGACATTTGAAACATCTCAATGGTGGTGGATTGTAGATTTTGACATTGTAACTGATGTAACCGATGAATACTTTGCTTGGTAATTGCTCTTCCTCGAATTTAATTAGTACAGATAAACTGTCAGATCTTTCTCCGTTTCTTGTTGTTTTTAACCGTTTTACTTCTTTTACTTTTGCACCGCTTATGTTTTCCAGAATCTCTTTTTCAGAAATTTTCAGAGGAACTCCTCCAATGACTCCCCTGCTGATCTTTTTGTTCTCCATTAGGCTGCACTGAACTCTTATCCCGTCAATTTTGTTAATACGTATTGCTTTGCCTTGCTGGGCGCTGTCTCTGCAGTTAATTAGCAGGTCTCCACTGTACAGAATTCTGGCACCTCTGACTTCTCCAACAAGTTTATTGATGGTTTTTGTTAAGTGAACCGGATTCCAGTTTGTAAAAGAGTCTGCCTGATTAACGACTTTGAATATGACTTTGAATTCATTTTGTTGTGCTGTGGAATGTATGGATTGATCATCACTGGATTGTTCTGAACTAGATTCCCCTTTAACTGATCTCTGTTTTTTCCGCTTTTTCTCATTTTTTGATGCTGCTATCTTCCAACCTTCATTGTCACTATTTCCCTCTTCCATCCCACAAGAATCGCTTCCTGTTTCCTCACTACTCACGGCCCAGGACATTTCTCCACAAGCAGAGCAGCTTCAAAACACGCGCCATGCACCAAACGACCAACGTTCCTCCCACCATGGCCATCAGCAGCACCTCAAACAAAAGAACAAGTGTAAGTAAACCATTCAGACAGACATTAACTAAAGTGTGCACCCATTAGAAAATACCTGTCTAAAAGAAATAACCAACTTAAACATGAATTGTCATATAATATAAAGCAAGAAAAGAACATACTAACACGATGTGGTGGTGGGAGGATCATCCACCACATAGACCACACATAGCTTCTTCCCATAACAAATCAGATTCCTTCTTAAGGTTTATTCATAACATGTTACTGTTTAACCAAAGTGTTTGTAATTTGTTTTGACTCTGACTACTTTCCATTGTTGTAAGTAAGGGGCAGTGTTGGGCACGTTACTTTGAAAAAGTAATTAGTTATAGTTACTAGTTACTTCTCCCAAAAAGTAACAGAGTTACTAACTGAGTTACTCCACAATAAAAGTAACTAGTTACTAGTAAAAGTAACTATTGCGTTACTTTTGCGTTTCTCGCCCCCATAACCCTCACCACCCAGCCCCCACCTTCTCGCGGTGTGTTTCCAAAGCCAGCTGAATAGAGCGGACGACAAAGACAAGAACCTGCAGAGAGTTTTGCATTTATTGCAAGTCAATGTAAATGACATCAGGGGAGAACGCCACGTGAAGGTTTTTAACAGGGCGTTTAGATCTGGTGAAATTAATGACTGGGGATGTCTAATTCTGAAATCCTGTGTGTTTGGGTTGTTATAGATACTGCAACGTCTATCTATCTATCTATCTATCTATCTATCTATCTATCTATCTATCTATCTATCTATCTATCTATCTATCTATCTATCTATCTATCTATCTATCTATCTATCTATCTATCTATCTATCTATCTATCTATCTATCTATCTATCTATCTATCTATCTATCTATCTATCTATCTATCTATCTATCTATCTATCTATCTATCTATCTATCTATCTAGATGTATACTCTGTGTGTGACATAAAATATGGATCTCCATCCCTGCCACAAAGGCCATCAAATAATGTTTAAAATAAAAAATACAGTAGGTTGAAAAGGCAGAGTATGATACCATCCATCCATCCATCCATCCATCCATCCATCCATCCATCCATCCATCCATCCATCCATCCATCCATCCATCCATCCATCCATCCATCCATCCAAGCATCCAGATTTCTCCCTTTCTCCATATAGGCTATCATTTCTGGCTGTTATCAGGTTAATCATTTGATCGTTCACGCTCTCCATAGTTCTCCTGTGGCGCGAGCACAGGGCGACTGTTGCGCGCCTTTACCGAGCATGCGCGTTTCCTGTCGCTTGCGCGGTGACTCGTGCCGCCTGCGCTGTGCGGAGATGCAGAGGAAACCGTATCTGATGGGGAAACACAGCTCGATGTAACACCTGTATTTCCATCAGGAAAAAGCTGTTTTGCTGCTGGATTCATCCTCACTCTCCATCTCTCTGTGTGTGCTGTGCGTTAACACCCGCCAGCAGAAACACCCACTTACACAACTGACAGATGGAATCTCTTTATACATCAGCCATTCTTATCCTCCCCTCTCTCATGACAAGGCGCGCACCTCTGGATGACCTAAAAAAATAATCTTTAATATCTCTTAAACAAAAGTAGCACAAACAATATTTTTTTCTGCACAAATCTGCACTAACGTTGCACTAACCATTCAGTCTATTTGCAGAGTTTTTTGACGTGGGTGGGGTGTCAGCTTCACGCAGCTGCGCACGTGTCTTATCATGAAAAAAGGTTCATTGTGCGACCTGAGTAACGCGCAGTAACGGGGTGTCTGCAATGGTAATTGCGTTAAAGTTACAGTCAAAGTAATTAGTTAGATTACTCGTTACTAAAACGCTGTTACTTTCAACGCCGTTAGTCCCATCACTGGTAAGGGAGAATGAACACTGCCTAGATCAGAAAAGAGCAGAATGCTGTGCCATTAAGGCTGTATGATCAACTGTTCTCTCTTTGCAAAGAAATGAATAAATGTGCCGACTGAGTGAAATACATCCATCTCCGTTTATTTAACTAGGGTGAATAGTTGAATACTTTTTTCCCACGACAAATGTTACCAGTGGAATTTTATGCATTCTGAATTATTACCCCCACTTAAGGTCCACCGGGTTTTGAGAGGTTAAAAAGGTTAGAGGGTGGGGGGAGTCTTTCTTACTGAGAAGAAAAGTTTTGGAACCCCTGGCTTTAGAGCAATCAACTTTTATTATGCACTGAATATCCACACATTTTTTTCACGGTTGTATATCTGTTTTTTTTTTTTATTTACTCAAATGTATGACACAATCTCCAAGTGTTGTTTTTTTTAAACAGCCATGTACAATAATACAAAAAATTCCACATGGAAATGGTTCCACTTGGCTTCAAAGGGACGTGATTGGACTGCAGAGAGCCTCGACCTGAAACCTTTCCAACACGAGTAAAGTGAAAATATAAGCCCGGCTTTCTGTGTCTGACCCCACCTAACTAATGCTTTCATGGCAGACAGAAACAAATCCTCTCAGCCAAGTTACAAAAGCAGCAAATTAATACCTCTGCTTTTGGAATGGAGTCGCTTCCTATTGTCAAGTGACAATTGCACTGCTTTGATAGTCACTTAACAGAACCAGACCTACTTCATAAATATATAGATGCACAAAAGCATTTTTGCAGTCAACATCACTTTCCCTCATGCTACAGTATGTTTATTTCAATGGTGTGTCACAGAAGCTGTGGTTATGAAAAAATAAAGTTCAATGTTTTCTTTAACACCAACAACTTTTATTTTATCTGTACACTTATTTCTCTTCCTTATTGGCTGCCGTTATACATATGAAAGCTTTTGATTATTTCACCTTTTGGTAGTTATACAGGAGTAACATTGATGGGTTTCAAAAAGAAAACTTTTTTCCTGTTTTACTTCTGATAGTGTTGAAAAATTATTATTAGAAAAAAATCTAAATTCACTTCAAATTTTATTTTAGTGACTGAAGCTGAAATACATTTTATTTTAACATAGCTTTGATAAAAAGTTGAAAATGTTTTTAAATTAAACCATATATATAATTACTGGCCAAATAATTTCAAAAAAGAAAACATAACTAGACAGAATTTCTATAAGGCTGGTTTCTAACCTATAAGTTCCTATTTTGCTGCGACTGAATAAGGGTTGACAAAAGCTAATTTCATGTAAACATGCCATTGAGGTGTGGCATATATCTGCCGATCTTTGTTTGCTAATCATGAATGACCAAAGCTTATCTTGTTGCATGCAACACACTGATTAGGATGGGCATCATCTTCATAGCCACAAAAGATGTAGAAACATAAACGGAAAAGCCTGGACCAAAGGTTTACCAGAATAGATGATAAGTGATTTAGATAAAAAAAAAATATATTTATTTTAATTGATAGATTTAATAAATTTTTGAATAAAATATTGATACAATTGATTAGGATTTAAATGAATTAGGATTTATAACATGAGAATATTTCAAATAATTTTTATACATTTTTAGCTGGTGTTCCAGTTATTCCATTAACAATGTAAAGGGAACCCACATATTGTAGATAATAATAATAATAAAAACAACTCTTGATCATAAAAAGAGCTCCTAAGATTTTCGTCTTTATTTGCACAGAAAAACGGCAAGAAAGATGCAAGAAAGTTTGATTTAATGCACAAGTTCCTGGATGTTCTTCCAAAAACAACAAAAACAGTAATTACTATGAGATGAAGGAATAATTCTAAATTCAACACAATAGATGGAAAACTAACAGAGATAAGGTCATTCGAGCTTGACACAAAGCAGCTGCTATACTGGCTAAAACATTGTTTATAGACTGAGATGTCATTTAAAATGTATTCAGGCTTCAGTGTGGGGGAAATGGCAGCAGTATTATTAACAACCGGTTCAGACTTTATCAAACACTTTTCAAAAGACTATCCAGTTGTTGCTATTTTATAGCAAAAACCCAATGAATTACATAAAACTCTACAAAACAGTCAAGAAGCAGAAAAGACAAAATGTTAAAGACAATAGGCTAATAAGATAGCATACTCAGTGTCAAATCTATCTATACATATATATATTAAAACATATGCCTAAAACCAAAAAAATGACTCATTCAAAATAAACAAAAAATTAAAACCAAAAGAGAAATTACTTTTTACAACATGCATATCATTGCACAATTGCCTTAAATTGAAAACTATTCAAATTAAAATATATTCATGTTTTTTTTAGTTGTCACACCTTTAATAAATGCTGGCATCAGCTCAGGAGTTGATAAGAGTATCCTTGTTTTTATTAATTGTCAGGTTGCTGCTCCTCTCATCATCAGGATCCGTGGGGTCTTTTCCATTTTGATATTTGAAGCCAAATAAATTGCAGAGTTTGGTCAGAAGGAGGTCAACAATCTCTTCATCTTCAGAAGGCTGGACCAAGAAAGAAAAAAGAAGCAAACAAAACCACTTTTAGAAGAAAACAGAAAACTTGAAATACAGAAATAAATAAATTTATTGGCCTGAACCAACTGTATGCATTGGTTTCAGCTCAGCGCTCTGGGAAAAGTTGACATTTCTCTTTAAAATTGGCCTATTTGGAGATACATTTTCATTCTCTATTGAACCAAAACAACCATGTTGTCAATAAATTATTGAATTTTTCTTCAAAAGATACTTGTACATTATACACATAATGTGGATAAGCCTCAAACATACGCTGTGATGCAAGACAATTTTTCTAGCTTCAGAACACATCAGTTCCTATTGATCAATGTACCATTTGGACACATTCAAAAGTGTAACCTTTGTTTAAATGCCTTTAAAATTCCTTTTCAATTCTGCTTATTTCCAAGTAGGAAAGTCATAGTATTTGCAACAAAATCCGTAAGACTTCCAAAAAAAAAAAATTAGCCAATGCTGAGCCTTTGGACTTATCATTCATGAGATTTAAATCTTGATTCAAATTCACCCCTTTAAACAGTTAAGGTTATATAACTTGGAGCTTTTGCCACTGCTATATTTCAGCATGATGTTTGACTGTTGATAATTATGCCCATTTTCTCATGATCTCTGCCTTCAGGATTAGGTTACGTTTTTAGAGAGCCAGGACTGTCTAGACAGCTACAATTATGTAGGAAAAAACACTTTACACAACAACTTTAATATAGTGCTTCGCCACTACCAGCAAACTAAATCACAGATCTACTTATATTATGAAGGGAGATTTCTGTGGTTCAATAACATTACACAAAAACAACATTTAGATAAGATCAATTAAATAGAAAATATCATACAAAAGTTAACAGTTCTTGATTTGAAAGTCAAGAAAATACTAATACTAAGGCATTGACATACTTTTAAGTACTAAGATATCATTTTAGTACACGGATTTGTGTATGCAAATAAAAGCTTTAGTTAAAGCATTCAAATGAGAAAAAAACAGGATTATCTTGCTAAAATGCTGGGTAACTCTTGAAGCATGGAACACAGTGTTTGCAGCTACGTGGTTGTTCCCTCCAACCTAATATTTTGGCAGACTTTAGAGTTGCAAGCTTACAAAATCACACGTGCAGAAGTATAAAACACTGTTGATTCCAAAATTGTCATTGTTTCTTTATGTCACCCCAGAGGGACAGTAACAGGTGGCTCAGAATCTGTTGTTCATGGTGATATTGGGCCAAATGATGCCTATAATAGTTTACGAACCGTCATCAGTAGGAGCTGTCATTCTTCTTTCATGTTTCTATCTTCAAATGGGAAAACAGTTTAAAAATAATTTGAATAGTCTAATTTTTGGTTTATATTGACCTGTTTCCAGTGTTAACTGCAGTTTTGCCTCTTATAGGGCCGGATCTATCAAAGGTTTGCGTGTATAAAAACGTGAGCTATTTCAATGCGCACGCTAAAAAATGTACAAACTGATCTATCAACAGCGTGCTAAAAGCATTTGGTCTTTAAAACGTGCTAAATAGCGCATCTGATCCATTTAGTACTTTTTCTGCAATGAATATGCAATATGGGGCGTTTACACGCTAAAGTGCGTCTTGTGGGAGGAGAACATGTAAATATATTAATTTAGCACTCGCAAAGTGATTTATCAAACTTGAACGCAATTTTGCTAACGGTATCTGACTCTATATTTAACACGTTTCAAAAGAAGGTGCAAATGGTCTGTATGTGTAATTGCGCACACATGGCAGCGGTTATTGTCGCAAGAAGGAGACATCGAAATGAAGCAAGGAGACGCAGAGAACGCATTTTTTCACTCTGTGTGAATATTTTTGCAATGAACGAGGAAACGATCATCAAAACATATAGTATATCCAGCATTGCCATTTTGGAGCTGTTGGGGGAACTCAGAATGGATTTGGAGCCAGCCACAAGGAGGACCCACGCAATACCAGATATCACAAAACTCCTTGCAACATTGCACTTTTTTGCATCTGGGTCATTCCAGCGTACGGTTGCAGCGTGAGCTGGGATCTCCCAATCTCGTTTTTTCAGAAGTGCTGTCCGACGGGGTCGGGGTTCTCCCCCTGAGCCTGTGGAGCAACGTGCCAAATGCTGCGGGGATCTCATCCACAGTCACAGGCCAATACAAAACACCTGTTTTTTTTTTTTGTTTTTTTTTTTACTGCAGCACATACCACCTTAGGGAATAAAGGTTGCCAATTTATAAATATATATATATATATATTTACTTATTTATTTTTTTTGTTGGGGGTCACTGTAAGATTTAAATTTCTTAATGCACTAGTTTGTACAGACTACAAACTACTTTGCCGCTAACCACAAAACGCGCAAAACCATCATTTAAATAGGGCGTCTCCAACAGTTTTGCACCTTTCACCAGTTACGCAATCACTCTTGTTAAATCACCCGCAAACCATGGTTCAGCCCCTCGCGCAAAATTCCAGTTTGCGAGCGCAAATTACTGCACGCAAAATTGGATCTTGATAAATCGGATAAATTGGATCTTGATAAATCCGGCCCATAGGGCCCATAGGGCCGGATTTATCAAGTGGTGGAATTTATCAACTGGTGGAAGGTGCAAAACTGTTGGAGACGCCCTATTTAAATGATGGTTTTGCGCGTTTTGTGGTTTGCGGCAAAGTAGTTTGTAGTCTGTACAAACTGGTGCATTAAGAAATTTAAATCTTACAGTGACCCCCAACAAAAAAAATAAATAAGTTATATATAATATAATATATATATATAAATATATATATATATATATATATATATTATATTATATATATATATTTATTTATTTATTATTATATGGCAACCTTTATTCCCTAAGGTGGTATGTGCTGCAGTAAAAAAAAACAAAAAAAAAAAAAAACAGGTGTTTTGTATTGGCCTGTGACTGTGGATGAGATCCCCGCAGCATTTGGCACGTTGCTCCACAGGCGCAGGGGGAGAACCCCGACCCCGTCGGACAGCACTTCTGAAAAAACGAGATTAGGAGATCCCAGCTCACGCTGCAACCGTACGCTGGAATGACCCAGATGCAAAAAAGTGCAATGTTGCAAGGAGTTTTGTGATATCTGGTATTGCGTGGGTCCTCCTTGTGGCTGGCTCCAAATCCATTCGGAGTTCCCCCAACAGCTCCAAAATGGCAATGCTGGATAAACGATATGTTTTGATGATCGTTTCCTCGTTCATTGCAAAAATATTCACACGGAGTGAAAAAATGCGTTCTCTGCGTCTCCTTGCTTTATTTCCATGTCTCCTTCTTGCGACAATAACCGCTGCCATGTGTGCGCAATTACGCATACAGACCATTTGCACCTTCTTTTGAAACGTGTTAAATATAGAGTCAGATACCGTTAGCAAAATTGCGTTCAGGTTTGATAAATCACTTTGCGAGTGCTAAATTAATATATTTACATGTTCTCCTCCCACAAGACGCACTTTAGCGTGTAAACGCCCCATATTGCATATTCATTGCAGAAAAAGTACTAAATAGATAAGAGGCGCTATTTAGCACGTTTTAAAGACCAAATCCTTTTAGCACGCTGTTGATAGATCAGTTTTTACATTTTTTAGCGTGCGCAGTGAAATAGCTCACGTTTTAATACACGCAAACCTTTGATAGATCCGGCCCATAGGGCCGGATTTATCAAGATCCAATTTTGCGTGCAGTAATTTGCGCTCGCAAACTGGAATTTTGCGCGAGGGGCTGAACCATGGTTTGCGGGTGATTGAACAAGAGTGATTGCGTAACTGGTGGCAGGTGCAAAACTGTTGGAGACGCCCTATTTAAATGATGGTTTTGCGCGTTTTGTGGTTTGCGGCAAAGTAGTTTGTAGTTTCTACAAACTAGTGCATTAAGAAATTTAAATCTCACAGTGACCCCCAACAAACAAACATAAAAAAAAAAAAATATATATATATATATATAAAGAAAAAACTTTGGCAACCTTTATTCCCTAAGGTGGTATGTGGCTGAATTTCTACTTCACTGCAGTAAAAAAAAAACAACAAATAAAAACAGCTGTTTTGTATTGGCCTGTAGAAAAATGCACATACCAAATGGCTCACAAGAAGTGACTGTGGATGAGATTACTGCGCGTACGCATCCCCGCAGCATTGGCATGTTACTCCACAGGCGCAGGGGGAGAACCCCGACCCCGTCGGGCAGCACTTCTGAAAAACGAGATTGAGATCCCAGCTCTCGCTGCAACCGTACACTGGAATGACCCAGATGCAAAAATAGTGCAATGTTGCAAGGAGTTTTGTGATATCTGGTATTGCGTGGGTCCTCCTTGTGGCTGGCTCCAAATCCATTCGGAGTTCCCCCAACAGCTCCAAAATGGCAATGCAGGATAAACGATATGTTTTGATGATCGTTTCTTCCTTCATTGCAAAAATATTCACACGGAGTGAAAAAATGTGTTCTCTGCGTCTCCTTGCTTCATTTCGATGTCTCCTTCTTGCGACAATAACCGCTGCCATGTGTGCGCAATTACGCATGCAGACCATTTGCACCTTCTTTTGAAACGTGTTAAATATAGTCAGATACCGTTAGCAAAATTGCTTTCAGGTTTGATAAATCACGTTGCGAGTGCTAAATTAATATATTTACATGTTCTCCTCCCATAAGACGCACTTTTGCGTGTAAACGCCCTATATTGCATATTCATTGCAGAAAAAGTATTAAATGGATAAGAGGTGCTATTTAGCACGTTTAAAGACCAAATCCTTTTAGCACGCTGTTGATAGATCAGTTTGTACATTTTTTAGCGTGCGCAGTGAAATAGCTCACGTTTTTATACACGCAAACCTTTGATAGATCCGGCCCATAGTGTACAAAATGCAGTTAAGTTGGTGAACTAGTTTTCTTATTGCTACTTTCATTGTTAGATTAGGCAGCAATCAGACTTGGAACTTGCTGCAGCTCTGAGGTTTTGCTATTGACTTTGCTTTTCACTTGAGTATAACTAATGAACCCAAATACTTTTTATAAAAGATGAATGCAGCCAAAGAGTGCCGTTGGGAAAACAATAATTGTTTCTTTTGGTCTTTCTGCAGGTCTATTTGTGCAAAACGTATTACATTAGCCACTCTTGAGTATGACATGGAAAATAAATTTATGTTTCTAGCAACACTTGCTCACTGAAAAAGACTAAGGAGTGTTTTTTTTTTGTTCAGCTTTTTTCAAATAACAGCATCACAGCATTTTGTGTTTAAAAGTTTCTTCCAGGATAATGCAAGCTTTTAATTTCTAACGGATGCATAGAGATATTTTACCCACAATTTTTCATGTTCTTGAGCATTGATATATATGTGTTTAAAAAATTAAAAAAAATATGTATTATTGTAAAGCTTCTTCATTAAAGTGGTCATATGTCTAAAAATGTCATTGAAAAACATTTTAAATTAACTGTTGCCTCTTTAAATGGTAGGTAATTTTCACTATTAACTTATTTTTATTCACCACAATGTTTTACTTTATTACATTGTTTGAAAGTCTTACTTTTCTGAACAAATAAGATGCTTTCGGCTTCAGGATTTCTAACAAAATTATTCTTCCTTATCTATGGGCAAGTAAAGGTTAATGGAAAATCAAATCAGATCAGCTTTTCTGTGGTAGAAAGAGTTTTAGATGAAAAATGAGATACATCTTTGTATTTTGAAAAACTGAAAAGAAATAACTCTTTCAAGGAAACAATGCGGTGTTGAAATCTTAACCAGGAGTTGATTTTTAAAGCATATACAGTACATGCAATCTTAACATTAATTGAGAATTTAATCAATATCTTGTCTTTTCTACAATTTATGATGAACAATGTTTCCATAGAGACATTGGTAAGGTAAAGCTGCAAGAATGCCCCGCCTTTCACCCAGAAAATTGCTCTAATCAGTTTAAAAGAACATTTCGGGCTTTTCAAGGGTTGTATTGCAAAAACAATTAACACAGGACTCTGTAGCTTGTTTTCTACAGATGACATCTGATTTTTATCTGTCTTGTTTTGGTCCTGGTTAATCTCAGTTTTTATTATTTTTTGCTCTGCACTTTTTCTGATTTTTTTTAAATGTATTTGCAGGATTTTCTGTTGTAATGGGGAGAGCTTCTGTTGTAAAAGTAATGTGTGGAGTAACAAGTCTTCCAAAATTCTTTGTGTTATAGGTGTTAACATGGTCCAATGAGCAGTGTATGTATAAACATTCAAAGATGCATGTTTGTGATGGAATAGGCCATATATTCCTTTGATTGGCCCTGATTTCTATTAGTTAGTTGGTAATTTAAAAAATAACTCCCTTCCCATTAAGTAGATTCACTATACCTAACTTCCTACAGATGGCACTAAAACTTGTTCTCTGGTTACAAATTACAGCAACACTGTAGGCATTTTAGATTACATTGCCTACTATTTACATGTCTTATTCTATGACAATATTATTTCTTTTTACAATCTTTTAAGTCTAACCTGGCCACTTCATAGCTAGTTGAAAGTAAATGTTTGTAAATCAATCTTACCTTATGGTTTATTTGCTTCATGTTAAACGATACAAGAATAACTGAAACGAAGAGATTTAGAATCACAAAAGTCATTAGGACAATGCAGGAACCGAACAGCAATCCTCCAAGCACAGGGTGACTCTCCAAAATCTGGGAAATAATGAAAGCGGGAAGAAACCAGAGTTAAATATGCCCATACTTTATAAGGAGAGAAAAAAGTGGGAATTTTGTTTAAAAAATGCTATTTATCCTAAATTGTAAAGAAAAAAAAAATGTAAACAGATATGATGAAAATAAATTGTGTTTGCTGATCTTTTATATGTGTTTAAATATTCTATTGCTCATGGTCACATTTCAGGGGTTGCATAGGTGTGGGAAGGGCATATATGAAGGATCTTTCTATGAAACAAGAGTTTGTGTTAAACTGCCTATCAATTCATTCATACGCGCAGAGACTACAGAGTTGTGCTGAGTTGACTGAAGAGCAACATAATGGCTCCTTGAAAACAGGTTAAGACAAACATGTTTAAATGATGTACCTTTGCCCTGTGCTACCATGCTAAGCTACTATGAATTTAGTTTAACCCAGAGGCAAAAGAATGATCCATCAAGAGCATTCAAAGTACAGTCAAGAAACCAGAAACTGTGAAATCAACAGAAAAGTATAAAATAAAAAATAAAAATAATAAAATAATTCACCTCATTATAGTTAAATATGCCGATCTGCAGCCTGATGATGGTCAAAAGAGAATCTATAAAGGTTCTGTAGGATGAAATCTTCCAGCCATAAATCACATTGCTCTGTAAAAGATCAAAACCGTAAAATGAAAACATGAACCACTAAAGTTATTTCTTATAGTGACAAATTCATCAAAAAGGAATCATTAAATTTTCCCCTCCAAAACTAAGCGTTGCTTATCTTTAATAATCATTAATCATCTTTAATCATACAGTACAAAGAAGTCTCAGACAAAAACTGACATAAACAGCAAAAGTTTGAACTATTACTTGTAGTTTTCATACAGTGTGACTAAATAGTTAATGATTTTTGAAATTATGTCTTTTAATATTGAAGTAAGAACTAAACCTGAAATAGCAAATCTGCCTCATGTCATTAGTGAGTTTATACTGAATTAAGGCCTATGGTTTCCAGGATCCAAAGATTGTTTGAATGTCTTTGATTCAAATCAGATTTGGAAAATGATATTTTGGTGTGAAGGAAAAAATTATTCTTTACCTACACATGTATTTTTCCCTTCTGCCTTATTATGCATGACTGACAAAGGTACATTCAGCACTTTTCAATATTAATATATGGGGTTTCTGTACATCAACCATCCTTTTCTTGTTGTCAAGGGCAAAAAAAATATATTATCAATGTTTTCATTCGCTTATCAAACATAAGGATGCAGGCCTAGGAAATTTTAAGTACAGATGCTGCAAAACACAAAGGGCCGGATTTATCAAGATCCAATTTTGCGTGCAGTAATTTGCGCTCGCAAAGTGGAATTTTGCGCGAGGGGCTGAACCATGGTTTGCGGGTGATTTAACAAGAGCGATTGCGTAACTGGTGGCAGGCGCAAAACTGTTGGAGACGCCCTATTTAAATGATGGTTTTGCGCGTTTTGTGGTTTGCGGCAAAGTAGTTTGTAGTTTGTGCAAACTAGTGCATTAAGAAATTTTAATCTTACAGTGACACCACCCCCTCCAAAAAAAAAAAAAAAAAAAAAAAATATATATATATATATATATATATATATATATATATATATATATATATATATATATATATATATATATATATATATATATATATATATATATATATATATATATATATATATATATATATATATAAACTTTGGCAACCTTTATTCCCTAAGGTGGTATGTGGCTGAATTTCTACTTCACCGCAGTAAGAAAAAAACACACAAACAAAAAAAACAGGTGTTTTGTATCGGCCTGTAGAAAAATGCACATACCAAATGGCTCACAAGAAGTGACTGTGGATAAGATGACTGCATTGGCATGTTGCTCCACAGGCGCAGGGTGTCGGGGTTCTCCGGTAGGGCGTCAGGGCTACATGGCATTTAGAACGTCGGACAGCACTTCTGAAAAACGAGATTGGGAGATCCCAGATGCAAAAAAGTGCAATGTTGCAAGGAGTTTCGTGATATCTGGTATTGCGTGGGTCCTCCTTGTGCCTGGCTCCAAATCCATTCGGAGTTCCCCCAACAGCTCCAAAATGGCAATGCTGGATAAACGATATGTTTTGATGATCGTTTCCTCGTTCATTGCAAAAATATTCACACGGAGTGAAAAAATGCGTTCTCTGCGTCTCCTTGCTTCATTTCGATGTCTCCTTCTTGCGACAATAACCGCTGCCATGTGTGAGCAATTACGCATACAGACCATTTGCACCTTCTTTTGAAACGTGTTAAATATAGAGTCAGATACCGTTAGCAAAATTGCTTTCAGGTTTGATAAATCACTTTGCGAGTGCTAAATTAATATATTTACATGTTCTCCTCCCACAAGACGCACTTTTGCGTGTAAACGCCCTATATTGAATATTCATTGCAGAAAAAGTACTAAATGGATAAGAGGTGCTATTTAGCACGTTTTAAAGACCAAATCCTTTTAGCACGCTGTTGATAGATCAGTTTGTACATTTTTTAGCGTGCGCAGTGAAATAGCTCACGTTTTAATACACGCAAACCTTTGATAAATCCGGCCCAAAGTGTGTTATTGTAAAGGATTCATAACATGTTTTGTTTACCTCTCTTGGCAAGTACATTAAAAAGAATCATGGCAAAAAAAAAAAAAAAAAATTAAATCCACAATCTTTGGATTTTGTATTAAATACTCCTAGTTGACGGAACTACACGTCGAAAGCATTAAGTTTTGTATGAGTCTGGCTGCCAGTTTTGAGAAATCTATAGAATCTATAAAATTCACTCTTGTTTTTGGCAGAATATTAATGCAGTGGTGAAGATGGGTTCTATTAATTTCAGTAAGAGTACAAAAATAAGCATATTTGTTTAGTAACAAAAGACTTGTATTGAGCAAAACTCTTTCAAACTATTCTAAAATAAACTTGCATAAATATAGTAACTTTCAATTCAATGTTTTCCTTTTTAGTGTTCATTTGGATGAAGAAAGTTTTGAAAAATGGGCTGAATTTTTGCTGTTGCTCACAGAACTATAATTATATTCCAACTGTTGTGAGGCTATATAATTAGACAAGAGGGATGTTTGCAAAGATGAAAATCCCGATAAAGGAGCAAATACTCACTGCAACTGAATATGCCACTAACGCGATCACAATGATCAGTAGAAAACTTGATATGTCATTCCATGCTCGACGCAGGGCAGCCGTGATCAGGTTCATCTTGGGGTTTAGTCGGAGAAGGTGCCACAGTTTGACAGTGGATAGAAGGACAATGAAGGCAATCAGATACTGAAGCGTTGAATCAGCTATAGCTGTCTCATAAAAACTGGCAAATCTGCAAAAACAGAAAAGTTGGAGTTATTAAGCTGAATTCCCTTGAATGTAGAAGAAAATACTTTATGATTAGATATAAAGCTAACTGTATAAAACTGATCTTAAAGCACTATTAGCTTTACAAACTCACACCAGATGTTCAAAATGCAGTTAAGTTGTGAATTAGTGTTCTTATTGCTACTTTCATTGTTAGATTTGGCAGCAATCAGACTTGGAAGTTCCTGCAGCTCAGAGGTTTTGCTATATTACCCCCCCTTGCCAAAAAAAATAAATACAAAAATACAATAAAATATAATAAGTTTGTATTGTATGTTATTCTCACTGGTCTTTGTGGTTTTGGTAGTAAGTCAAATCACGGTTTCCGAGCAAGGTCCTTTGAATGAACACTCCCACAGCACTCCAGCTTAGCAGGATGATACTCAGCTCCAGAAGGTTCCACTTGTTCTTGAAATAAACCCACCGCTGTTGCTTCAATAATTTGGCCTGTTGGAGTGAATAAACATGAGAATAATTTACCATAAGTAATCACACAACATCAGCAATGGATTTATTTATTTATTTTAATTAGACCAAAAATGTAATGAAACCATTGAACCTTTCCCTGCTGAAATAAATGATATTGGAAAATTGCAGGAAATCTTGATTAGAATATAATAAAAGCCTAGGAGCATCTTCTAAATGCTTACATATTTTAAAATAAAAAAATGATCTAGAGCTCTTGTGGTGTGTAGAAATATAGCAAAGCAAATAGTATTTGTTACAGGGGTTTTCAAATGTATGGGCCCACATTCTGCCATGCTGCAACCACAAACCTCAAGGTCTTTAATTAGGTTTGTGTGTGATAGGCCAACATAAGGGTGTGCAGGTAACAATCTGACATGTGTAGAGAGGGTTTGTATTAATTGTAGTCAACAAAAACAAAAAAGTAATAGTTTCAAATTAATGCTGTTTAAATTCACCCAAAAGTTAAAGAAAGTCCATACATTTATTTCATATCATAAGCCTAGTTACACTTGTTATTATACCACCGGCACCAATTTATGTTTCTGCTGGTGGGTTGCTTCCACCTTGCTCACATGACTTGTCACCATCTGACACGAAAATACATTCATCTTACATGAAAGCCTGCATTAGACCAAGTAACAGGAGAAGGAAACACATATACTCTTTTTTGCATGCATACAACCCCACCCCCACACAAACTACTCTCTGTCACAAACATACACATTCTGCACACTGTTAATGCAAATAAGTAGTGAATGTAAATATAATCTAATGCGAAAGGCTCTGACACAGATTAAGGTAAAACAAAATTCAAAGCCTGAGACCACAGAATTGAAAAGCATATGCAAACTTTATAGGCCTATACTGTAAGGGTGGAAAGAAATGTACACTGTACAAAAAGTTTGTATAGGTCAAAATGAACATTGGTGCACTAGCAATCAATTGGCTTTACCTCCTACATTAGCTTTTTACTTTGAGGCAATAGATTGCAAAGAGGCTGTTTTCACAGTCCAGTGCATCCATGTGTCTTTGACTGTTTTAAATGTTATCATTGAACCCAAATTTCAAAATGCTGCTCCAAAATCCTTGTCTGCACTTATGTCCTGCAGGACTTAATAATAACAATCCCCAACACACAAAAGGGTTTGGTCATAACACAAAATCCTTTGCTCTGTTTAGGAAAACTACACTGCACAGGCTCTATGGTGTGGTGATGAAATGTGAATTGGAAGTGGTATACTTCCTTTGAGACCCTGTTTTCTTTGGTATTCATGAAAGAGTTCACCTTCTCGCCTTTCCGGAACCAAAAATGTAATTGATTCCTCACCATAATTAATATAATATTGTTTAGTGTTTTACCCTGACTGTTTAACAGCTGTTATCGTAAACCAAATTGAAATACAATGTATTGAAGTAGGATCAAATGAAGGTAGATAACTGAAATTTAATTTGTCTATAAAATTAGATTGTACTTTTAAGTATCTATACCACATTTTTTGGTCATTGAAAGTTGTGAATTGGTAACCTGACAACAGCCAGATACATGAGACATGCATCTGGCTGTTGTCAGGTTAGTGAATTGGTGCCATGTGATTAAACTAAATCAACTTGAATTTCCTCAGAGCTACAGTAACTACAGGATAGACAACAAAAGTACTTATACAGTAATGGAGCAATCATAAACATACAGACAAAGCAGCATTGGGGTAGTTTAAATTAGGGTTAGTTAGAAGGGTCCATTTAAACCCAATTAAATAGCAAGGCCAAATCCTTTCTATGATTTTTTTTTCCTAAGTAAACTAACTGAACTAAGTTGTGTTGATCTATGAGATCAAACCCAGTAAAATGCATGGACATTCACAAGTAAAACCATATTAGATACTAAGGGTTAATAATGTCTTTGCAATATGTTGCACATGAGAAAAGATTTTTTTTTTTTACCTTTAGAAATATTCCTTATCCGGAAACCTTTACTCAGTTTTTTTTTTCTAATAATATAATTTTTAATAATACAAGTATTTTTTTCTTTGTAATACAATATAAAGGTCTTAAGATACAGTGAAAGACACATTACACCATCTTATTGTAAGTTAAATTACAGTTAATGGTGACACCATGGGAGTAAAAAAGACCTTTAGAGGTTAAAGAACATCATCATTAAGTTATGAAATGGTGCAGCATAAAAACACGTGTAACTTAATTACAAATAAGGAAGATTGTTGCTATTAAAGCCAGAAAAAAACTTCTAGAGTGCAGACTGATGTAAAAATAGCTGTATAGCCATATGTTGGATTTACATAGGAAATTATTATTATTGTTTTTATTGAAGTCAGTCACAGAGCTAAGGAAGTTCCCGTAAGACCTATTCAGCAAAAACACAAATTGTGAAGTATGCATAACTGCTATTAGCGAACCACTTTTCTACCGGAAAACTATATAATTTTCCTATTTACTTTTCTTATTTACAATTAACTTATGTTCTCATGGTAATGAAAAGTTTCTTTTTTTTTATTAGCTGGTACAGAATTCCACATATAATATCAATATGCCTTCAATAAAACACTGTGTCAGTAATTAATCTTATTATTAAACTAATCTATAAGAAATATTTTTATTCAGTGAATACAGTAATATTCAGTAAATAAAGAAGTCATATTTTTTCATGATGTTCTTCATACTAAGATGGATCTGTACTATGACTTCAGTCTATCTCCATGACTCATCTAAATTAGTCCATATCTGAAGGGCAGGTAACAATTTTAAAGTTTTAAACTGGAACTATGACAAACACGGCTTAAAGTGGAAACATACTTATCTAGTCACCCTGCACAGCAAAGAGGTTGGTAAGGGGGTAAAAAATGTCTCTTCTAAAGAGCAAAGAGACACAGCAAAGATGAATTTTCTACATAAAAGATACAAATAAATACATAAAAAAATACAGGGACATGTTGAATATTATTTATCAATCCATCTTCTGCAGCTTATCTGCCAGTTTCACTGTGGGGCTGGTGCCTATCTCTAGCAGTCTATAGGCCAAAGGCAGGGTACACCCTGGACAAGTTACAAGTCTGTCGCAGGGCAGCAGAGAGACACACAAAGACATATAGCCATGCACACACACAATCACCCCTAAGGGCAATTGAACCTGGAACCTTCTTTCAGCCCTGATAAATGTCATCCAACCATGAACATTATATTATTATTATTATTATTATTATACAGAATTCATTCTTTAATTATTCAGATTTGATTTCTGTATCAGAAATGTAAGGCTTTTTAGTATATGTTGATGAGTTGTAAAGTTTGTACAGAGTTTAAAAAAGTGTAAGACTACAATAAAATATAGCCACAGATTTCTATTTATAAATGCACTTTTTCTTGAATTTAAATTGAATTCCTAAGATCCAAGGGGAATAATATCTCACAGAGAAACTACATGATGATAACTCCAGCCAAATTAGGGATTTAGTGAAACAATAAATCTTTGGACAGTTTATCCTTAAATGTTATTCATGTTTATGTGGGCACAAAGAAAAGACAGGCCATAAAAATTGCTTGTAAAAAGTGCTTACCTGCTTGAACATATAATAGAGAATGAAAAGCATGTAAATTATCTCAGCAGCCATAACAAAGAGGTAAAGTCCCCCTGTTGACGGGTAGAGACGAATAGTCTGCAGATCAGTGTAGAACTGAAATGCTCCTGTAAAATGAAAGACATGATTCAGTCAATGCAGATGAAAGCATAATTTTTCAGAGAAAGGTAAAAAAAAAAAGGTAGCATTTTTCCACAAAATGATGTTTATCATAGCTGCAGATGGACTCTGACAGCAGTCTTTAAAAGGAGTGCTCTTTACCAACTGCTGAGGTCTCCATCAAGAGTGTGATGATGCAGAAGAGGTTTACATTTGCATTGTAAACGGTGAACTCAACAAAGATTGCCCTTGTGTACTTATCAAGCCATTTATTGCGGAAAAGATACTCAAGCGTTCTGTAGACAAAGGAGATAAAATTTAAAGTGCTGTCTGTTTATGTTCCTTTTTTATCTAAAATGGTAAAGTTAAGTTTAAAAGCAAAGTTTTACCCTCAACATTTGCATTATAAATATGACAATAGAAACTATATTTGGATATGTACGCACCTGCTGGCATTTTGAAACATTGGGCCAAGCTCAGCCACAAAGCCCCCTCCTCTATAGAGCACCAGTCTCCCCCAGAAAGGTCTAGCCCTGAGCTGGGCTTCAGTCTGGTACATCCATTGAGACAAGGCACTTGTTGAAATATTATCCTTAACAGAGTGATTCCAGGCAGATCCGTAAGACCCCACATCCTCTATCTCAGATGAATATAGGGCATCACAGTCTGGCACTAATCCAATCATGAGACTTGCAATCTGACACGAGTTCTGCTGAACTCTTAATTGACGAAGACGGGCATTTCCTACGAGCTTGGAGTTTCCATCTGTGATAAATCCTGAAGGAAAATAATTTAAAGTTACACTGCTACTGAAAAATGTATCAATCGATATCATTTTAATTCATTTTCTACATGGTGCATTGCCTGAATTTTTTAATAACTTGTCCTTTTGATCTTATGTCGTTTAATTGCTTTTATTTTTAGTTGCATTTAGATCTTCACAATAAATATATTAAATTTTAAACCGTCCACATTAGTACTATTTCCTGAAATGTTACATTCTTCAAGTGAAAAAAATAGGTTTGGTTTTGCTACCATTTTTCCTAAGATGAATTAAAAAATCTAAAACTTTTTCCACATACCGGTACACAGTATAACCATTTTATTTTACTAAAAAAAATTTCAAAAACCAGCCTAAATTTGTGATAGTGAGCACTTCCCCTTTGCTGAGGTAATCCATCCCACCTCACAGGTATGCCATATCAAGATTCTCATTAGACACCATGATTCGTGCAAAGTGTGCCTTAAACTGCCCACAATATAAGGTGAAGTGTCACTTTCACAGATTTAGACTGGTTCGTGATAAATATTTGAGGAAAATTGTTATATTGTGTATGTGGAAAAAGTTTTAGATCTTTGAGTTCATCTCATAAAAAATGGGAGTAAAACCAAAAATGTTGCATTTATTTTTCATTGGGTGTAGTAATGGCTTGTGTTAGAAAATATAAATGATGATAATATGACACTGTTTTTTGTTTATTTTATCACTGTTAAACTTTATGGAATGGAAATTTTCATTTACTGTCTGGAAAGCTGTACTCAATGAAATTTCATTTTGTATACACTGTGTATACAAAATGAAAATAAAAGTTGTCAAAGTCTAAGTCGGATGATAACTTTTACTTTTTTTTGTAGAGAGGAGAATAAGTATTACCCAATGTTTTTATTTACATTCCCAATAATCATACGACAACAAACCATAATAACAACCTTCATTTAAAAATACTTTCTGGTATTATAATAATTTTCTAAATTAAAGGCTGACATTTACTGGACAGCATGAACGGTTTTAAACTTTATTAACCATGATTTGATACAAAGCTATACAAATTTATCTTAGCAATTTGTCTCACTCAATAAGGTGTTTGTTCTTTTATTGAAGTCAGATTTTGCTCAGCAAGCCTGTCCTCTGCTGTGTTCAGTAGGAGATATACCAGCATGTGAGTAATTTAAGGTTCCTACCTGGGTACGACCCAAAAAGGTTTTTCAGTAAAGTGGTGTTAGCCCATGTAAACACATCCTGGAGAGTCATGCTGTTCTGGACACCTTTACTGAAGCTATTTCTAATGTGTCGTTTCAGCAAAAAAGCATTGCCATCTTTCTGACCGTAGGCCACCAGCAGTAGCATCCACATGAAACCTATGTAAACTGGAAGACAAAATTTTAGAAACCATTTTATTTCTTAGAAGTTCTGGAACCAACTAAATTTGAATTATTTTATTATTATATATATCTGATCCAGAAGAAGGGCAGAGAGAGGAAATAGCCAAGTGCAGGATACCAAACCAGAGACATATATATTATTATCCATGTATTGTAAACCAGTCCAGACCACAGCCAAAGGGTGCCTTTTTCAAGGTTTAATACTTTCAAAGAAAACCTCCACATCTCTCCAAATATACACGCAAACAAACGTACCAAAAATTTCAGTAAGCAAAGCAAATGCCTTCTGTTCCATGATCTTGTTCCTCTTCATTCTCTCAATGTCTGCAGGAGGAGGTGGATCGTAGAGCTGGTAACCCCACTGGTTTGTTTGTTGATTACCTGTATACATTTGTGAATGTTTAACTGTGTTTTAGTTTTTTGGAAGTCGTAAAAGTGAGCTTTGGGAGGATTTATACTTTACCAGATTTTCTTTCACTTCTTTCAAATGCCACATTTTGAAAATCTTCTTCATCAACTTTTTTTATTACAAGTGCAAAAAAAACTGCAAAGCATATTACCTGTCAAAAATAAATCCAAATTTTAGAGAGATATTCAATCTAATGCAATAAGTGTTTATGTGTGTTCTTTAAATGAAGATTTTGCCAACCAGAACAATATGTTAAATCAAATGCTAATGTTTTAGGCCAGTGAAAAATATATAGAGAAAATATATTAATGCTCACCTTCAGTGGCTGAATAAAGAGAAGACTTTGAAAGAAGGACACAACCATGGATACCAACCAGCTGATGGAACGCTCCTTCCCAAATTTAAGTCCATACAGCATTGTGAAATATCCTGATACAAAACTGGTTCCAATTATCAGCAGCCAGCCAACAAAGATAAACCACCAGGGTAGCAAACCCTTACGCTGCTGCTTTTTTTTCTGACCGCCATCACTTGATATGCCATGCTCAGGATTAGACCTGCAATTGGAAAGGAGAAAAAAAGATGTTGTTAAGGATGAAATTTCAACCAAAAATATTTTGCTTAATTCTTTAGCTACATTAGAGGAAAAACAATGACAATTCCTAATAAAAAATCACAACAAGTAGCAGTACTGTGAGATGCAGTGAGATGTAGTGTGTACTGTTATGAAAGTACTTTTTTCCTGCTTACATTGTCTAAAAGCTATCAAATTAGCATAAGTATAGTATATAGGAATATTTTTAAGAAATAATAACATGAAACTAACATTGTGTTCAGTTATTTTCAAAATGGTCTTGTTGAGGATATTATTTTACTCCACTAAATTAATTATTACTCAGCTGTTATGGTTAAAACAGCAGAGCTAAGCATTCTTTCAAATAATAATACAATAAGAAATGTCCAAAACCAAAGAGAATGAAAAAAACATATTTAAATATGTTTAAATCTGTTCATTTTCATTCCTCATTTAGGGGGATATGTTGCCATTCAATCATGGAAACACATGGCACAAAAAAACATGCACACATAAACTAACTCCTAAAGGCATTTTATTGAGACCCATTTTGGATGGATCATTTTTTGGTAGGAGGGGCCATGCAGGAAAGCACAGAAACAAGGAATTAATTCCTACAAGTCTCAGGGACATATAAATAATTTAGCACTTTGATAATTAATCTTAACATAATGCCCTCCTAAAACAAAACATGACTTTGTCATCATCTCATTATAGTTGAAGTATTGGGACTTATACATTTAAATGATTAAGAAGACTGAACTAAACCTCCACTAGCAAAGTCAAACATACACCAGACGGATTTTTCTGTCAACTTATACACTACACTCTAGTTATTAGCAATGTTAAAACTCAAGAGAAAAAAGCCCAAAAGTTTGGTTCATGTCTTATATGTACTTCTCATGTATGGGTTCATTTTGATCCACATGGCTGGATGTGAAAAGCTGTTGTTCAAGGAGGCTCTTCACCCCCTGGATCTGGTGCTGAGCCTTATCCAAACTGTATGGACTAGAGAAGCTGGACGGGGCTTCCACACTCAGCTGCTCTTCAAGGTGACATATTTGTCTGTACAGATGCTGGGTTTTGTTGCTCTTCTTTTGAATGTCGTCAGCTGTTGAAACAGGAAACAAAAATTTAAAGAAATCCTACACTGGAGAATGTTCTGTGAGCAAAAACTACTAAGATGTTTTTTTATTTTTCTGAAATGTTTAGCGCACACTGTTCGGTGCTTACAAATTAAAAATAGATGGTTTTGCACAAATGTAAAAAAAAACTTAACAGCAGTGGGGCCAAAGTCCAGTCCTCAGGAACTAGTCTGCAGCTATTACATGTTTTTCTTTCTCCAACAAATCTGAATGAAATGGGTGATTTTTTTCCCCATCAGCTTGCCCTTCAGCTCCAAAGATCCCTGGTCACAAGCCATTTATCTGATTTATGTGTCTTGGAGCATAGGTCTAAAGGTTTCAGAATGGTATCTCTGGGACTGGAGTTGGCCACCTCTGTTTCTCGTGACCTAAATAATAGGATCACTGTCAGAAGAGCAAGACTCACCAGATAGTTGAGACGGTGTCACTGTCTTGGTGTCATTGCTGCATTTGGTATTCTGTTTGAGTAATTCTTCCACCTCTGCAAGAACAGTATTAATGTCACTTTCTTTTCCGGGACCAGACTTGTTGGATGGGTCTGTGTATTTGGTTGTCTCAGAGAGTGATTGAAGGATTCTTGCAATATCCTAAAAGTATGAACACAAGATATTGTTATATGCATGTAAATAAAACTGGAAAAACACAATGTGTTTTTGAAGATAATCCGTACTATAAGCTCAATTTTAATTTCTAAGATTAAGTTTTAAAAGCACTTAAATTCATTGAACAGTCACACATTTTATTGAGTTATAACTTTAGGTTTGAATGTATTTATTAAGATTTTGATTAATACGTGTACTTATGAAGTGGATTTTAAGGATAGTGTACATGGTTTGCATATTTATAACCAAATAAAAGTCCAAAAACTATTACCTTTATTTGTATTCACACTGTGACAAATAATGTTGGCAGTATGCAAATAGCCATATAAGGCATACAGAAATATGAGGATGAAGGTTTAGATTAGACTATAGTTAAAACTTCATGCCCAAGATATAAAAAATAAACACTACACATCACCCTCTAATTTCCATAGTAACGCATGCTGGGGGTAGCATTCTGCGCTCAGGATGTCATAGATTGGGAAGTGAGTCTGAGGTAATGAGAATGGATGTAGTGAAATATAGGAAGAAATTGTTTCATAGGCTGCAAGAGATTGGAGACATACAGCCAGAGCAACAATAACATTATTTAGTTCAAAGCATGTGCTAAAATGAAACCGTCAAAATCCAGCTCCAGCTGTTTTCAACAGATTTGCAGCTATGCTCAAAACAAAGGTTATTTTCAGGAAAAACGAACATCCACCCGATCGTCTGCACTCTGTTATGTGTGTACATTAAACACAGCAGCATGCTTGAAAATAACACCGGTTAAACTTTTTCTGGACACCATGAGCACGAAACCACAATTAATAAAGATATAGCAACTTATTAAATCAGAATTTAACAGTGCCTTGTTTCACTTCTTATTTTATATCAAAATCCTTCCCATTATGAGGTCATTTGGGGAAATACTACTCTCTCCATCTAAGCCCACCCTCTAGCAGGCCCTACTGTATCTCTCTGTAGAGCATCCAACACGAGCGTTCATATTGATTGCTATGCTAAGATCTAAGCACAGCAGCTACTCTGTTAAAGGCAGCATCAACCAGACAAAAGTCTTATTTACGGCCTTCATCTGAGCCCCTGTACACTCAGTGGAAGGATTTTATTTTTGATGGAAATTTTGCATCGGCATGCAGAGCATTTCAATGGATTTTCATAACATGGGTGTTAAAACAGCAGGATTCTCTACACACCGGAAATTGAAGAGTGGATTGATATTCACTGTATGGTACATGACTTTAATGTGTTGGACTGCTTACTGATGGCCTGTTAACAGGTTAGTACTGCAGCTAACGCGTGTCTGGTTGGCTGTTTTGATAAGCCGGCGGTTTTTACTGATGGGTTTGAGAAGCATAACGTCATGATGATTGTACCTTACAACCACCATATTGATTACCGGACGTTTAGTTTAGCCCTGTGGTGCTTCCCTTCATACCAGAAGGGATCTTTCTCATTTAAAACCTAATGAGCTTAAATGATACAAAGAGAAAATCTGTTATTGGATGCTGTCCATATGAAATTCCTGCAGAATTCTTTTCAGCACCTTTCTTTCATTTCACAGGCCTCCAGATTTTACCTCTTACGATTAAATCATATATCTTATACTCAACCTGTCCTCATGAACTTGGAAAAGTCTGAAGCTGTTAAAAGCACAGATCCTGATATGTATTTTACAGCTGGCTGCATCATTGACCGGAAAATATGGTATCCGAAAAACAGGAAGATATTTTTATATAAAAGCGAAGGTAAGTATTCTGCTGATTTTTATGCTTACTTCATGTAAACAGCCAAACACAAATTGAATACACGTAGCAATATCTTCAGATCTTATTATCAAATGCACTTCTTCACAAAGTGTCTAATCAGTGTAATCTAATCACTTAATTTTATGATAAAAATGTGGAAGACATTAAATCCAGTTGGCAACAGCTCCCTCTCTTGTTTTGAAACTCACCTGATATAAAATGTACACCAGACAGATGGCTACTTGCAGTCAGCGTTCAGTTAGCATTTCTGATTGCTGTCAGCCATCTCAATTCATTTTTGGTGAGCGGTAAAAATAAAAATATATCAGTGACCTTTTTTACAGTCACACCCGATGGCACAACATACAGAGGGACTATTTTACGGGTTGGGGACCAGAGCAGGTAGTCAATATGGCATCGGCTAGATTCAAATGTTTGTGACGTCAGCTGCAAGGCATCGATAAGATGGGTAATCTTCTCTGTGTTTCACAAAAAGTATTTTTCTTAACAGGATATGTGCAGTAATTCTGATTGTGCGCTTATATAACTTTTGTTAGTAGCTGCGCTTTTAGTACATGACAGCAGACAGATGCAGTAGCACCTCAGGCTAACTGGCTGGAAAGATGTACTTGTTTGTTTGTTTATTGAAACTTGTTTACAGTCTAGGGTTTCCAGCCGTCCCTTAAAAAACAGGAGCTTTCAGTATGTAGATGAAATGCTCTGTACTCTTTATTGAGACGATTAGAGCTAGATTTGTCTGTTTGCGATAAAATAAAAAAAAAGTGTATTATTGTTGTTATTATAAATGAAGCTGGTCCTGTTGTGTGTTGTTGTCTTTTTTAGCTGACCAGAGCACCAGAGCAGTCTTTAGCAGCTCATCATTTAAGGTCAGCCACTGTCTTCTGCTTAATCCACTCTCCTAGCCGGTATAATTACAAACTCAGACTCGTTGTCATGTTAGCGGGTTGTGAAGGCGTGGTCTTGGAAAGGGGCGTGAGGAGTTTTCAGTTCACATTGTCTATCTAATCTGAGAGGAATTTTCCTGCCCAAAATGGCTCTGGAGGGCTAGTTGTTAATATATTTTTTTTTCAAATGTATGAAACCTTTAAGATGACCAGATGTATTACATAAAGTTCAATGAAAAGGAACAAAGCACTTGCTTTTATGAGGATGTCCATAGTGGAGCTTTCATCGTTGCTGTTGGTGCTTGTCACTTGCAGAGAAACCGTGTGGACACCACTCTTTTTCTGGAGGCGAGTCTCTCGAGGACGAGTGTTTCTGAAGACGCTGACTATGAGGATATTTATGGGAAACATGATGAGGGAACTCTGGACCCCAATCATGAACTGCTGCCAGGTGAACTCAAAGTGACCTGGAAACACAAATCTTATAGAGATGAGTTTGATTCATCTTTCGATCGTTCCTTGAGGTTGAGTAAAGTATAAATAAAACTAGATGTACCCAAATCCATGACCTGGTCGGAGGGGTCTGTTGGGATTCCGTAAAACATGATGCTGGTCAACATGGTGCAGAGCAGCAGGGAGAAACAGCAGGACACTCTTTGTACACAGGTGAAGGTGCTGCTTGGTGGTCGACTGATCACAGAGTACCAAAGGTGACCATCACTAAAATCCTTTGCCGTTTTCATGAAGAACAAATTACTGGAAGATAAAATCAGTCATGTAAAGTCTAAACATTGCAAAACCCTGATAAACCCCCAATTAGAACAGGATTAATGTCATTTTCTAATCTCTTTTTCTCACAACAAAACTTTCGGTGAGATTATCTGCTTTCTGGGATTTTAAGAATAAAGAAAAAGCCATAAATCCTTTTTAAGCTCAGCAATTAGATTCTATAGTGAAGATGAGAATATTACTGCTATTTTTTATGTATAACAACATAATCAATTAAATAAATACTTGTTACCTGCAGTTGAGTTAAATTGCAAGAATTAAAGTAATAGATTATACTAACTTATGGCCAGTGTGGATGGAGTCTTTAATTTCATCAAAACTTACATTCACCTTTCACAATATGTTAGTTATCCTAAAACAGCCTATTTTTATTTTTTCAGAAATGCTAATATTCTCATTAGCCAAGAAGCTGGCTTCACTTGTAAAATAGTTTTTTTTAAGTGCTACATTTCAAAAGGCCTCATTTGGTCTCCATTCAATATATTTGACTTTTCTTCAAACTGATAACCAAGCCTGCTATTGCATCTGATTTACATTTGATTTGAACTCTAATCATTCATATCCAATGGAAAATAGGATCCTAGAATTCACTTTCACTCTGTTGACTAATACTGTGCTTGTATATATGCAATTGTGCTCTTCAAAGTAGTACTACACTGCTGCCTTACCTGAATTTCTTCAGGTCCATCTCCGTGGAAACAGGGAAGAGTTTATCTAGACAGCAATCACCCATGTCTATTGCAAGCCAGGAATTGCATAGAAAGTACCATTTCTCTTCTGTCTGTAAATCCTGAACCAGGATGTTGCCAACAAACCTGAAGAAAACAGCAAACATTTAATTTTATATCATGAAAACATGCCTCTAGCAAATTTTAAAGCTTTACATTTCAGTCCAGAAAGTGGTGCAATATCACAATATAGGTTTATCAGGATTAGAACATGTGGACTTTTACTGGAGTTTAACCATTACCGTATTTTCACGACCATAAGGCGCACCGTACTAAAAGGCGCAGTCTCAGTTATGTGTCCCATTTCTGTATTTAACACACACATAAGGCGCACCGTACTATAGGGCGCATTTTTTATATACAGGTACATGTCCTCTACTACCTTTAAATACCTCTACTGCGTATTTAAAAATACAGCGGGGGCAAAACTGAGTATGACTGTGCTTTATTCATGTATTTATTACAAACTATTAATCAAACCTGGGTGCTGGCCGTGAGACAGACATATCGCAGATGACACAGCGCTGTGATCACTCCTAAATTAACTTAAAATCCTGAAACCTGCCGACGGAATTTGTTCGCTTTTATTACCGGTATCCTGGTGCCTGCAGTTTAAATTATTTAGATGAAAAACACCTGCCAGCAGCCGCGGTGAACCTGGAGGCTGCCCAGCCTAGAGGCTGCTGATGAAAGGATTTCTCCTGTCGGTGCACCGCTGGTATGTGGGGGTCTGAGCGCCTCCGACAGAAATAGATAATCTGGATGAACTGACTGCAATGATTAAGTTTTCAGGTGGACTTTCTCACTTAAAAACATATTAAAACTACTTTATTCCCACTGATCACAGCAAATAAAGCTGCAAGATTTAGATTATTTAGATGAAAAAACACCTGCCAGCCACCGCGGTGAAGAGGAGGAGACCCGCCCAGAGGCTGCTGTTGAATTAAGTTTTCAGGTAGAAAAATAGAGCGGGAGCAAAACTGAGTATGATTGTGCTTTATTAATGTATTTATTACAGAGTATTAATCAAACCCATCAAAGTCATCATCCTCTGTTTCTGAATTAAACAGCTGCGCTAAATCAGACATGCCAGTTTCCCATCTTCGCTGTCAGAGTCACTTTCCGTGCAGCGCGGCTCCTCAGAAATAATGCCTGCTTTTGCGAAAGCTTGAACAACAGAGCCAGCAGACACGTTAGTCCATCTACAATCCATCCGCAAACGGTGGCGTAACTTGCCCGGCGCTGCCTTCCACTTTTCCTGAAACTGTGGTCTCCGTCTGTCATCCATCGCTCCCACGCCGCTCGCAGCCTTACTTTGAACGGCCGCTTCACACCGATGTCGAGCGGTTGAAGTTCCTTTGTCAGACCCCCGAGATAACGGCGAGCACAGCGTTCATTTGATTCACCATGTTTTTCTCATCAGCTGTGAGATGGGCACGCATGGAGTCACAGATTAACTGCGATGGTGATGCGTGGAAAAAAGCACCTGGTCTCCTCACATACACCTCCCTCAGCCACGCTTTCATCATCTCCTCATCCATCCAGCCCTTTTCTTTGCGTTAATATCATATGTCATCAGAGCGCTGTGTCTGTCTCGCTGTCAGCTCCCAGATCAGCTTCTCTGATTGGTTGATGCGGCGCGTCCAGCAGCAAAACTTCAATTTTTCCATCTCGAGCAGCAGCAGCGCGTTGGCGGTGCGTCAGATGCTTAAAGGCTGCGGGACCTTTTGCTGCACCTATACGCGCTTCAACCATTGACTTTGCATGTAAACTCGCTGCTTCTGCTGCACCTGCTGGGTCCGGTTCACACCGATGTCGAGCGGTTGAACAGCGAGCACAGCGTTAATTTGTTTCCCCATGTTTTTCACATCAGCTGTGAGATGGGCACGCATGGAGTCACATATTAACAGCGATGGTGATGAGTGGAAAAAAAAACACCTGGTCTCCTTACATTCAGCCACTCTTTCATCATCTCCTCAATGAGGTGGTCTCAAAAGTCGCAGTTACAACACACATAGGGCGCACCGCACCAAAGGGCACACCGTACATTTTGAGGGAAAAAAAAGACGTTTAAGTGCGCCTTATAGTCGTGAAAATACGGTAAATCGACTTATGGCCGATATCAAGCTTGAAAGGACCCGACTAGTGACCAGGTGGTCAGAAACTGTAATTTTGTTGTCAGTCTAATGTTAGTACACTAATGATTAAAATGTCTAATTAGTTGGAATATTCAAGTTGAGAGTGTCGCTGCAGACAACCTCTGGTTAAGATGGAAGCTCCTTGTTCTGGAGTTGGTAAAAGACGTCCACATAAGAACAACTAATTGTCTATTAAGGTTGGCCACAGGGGTCCATCAATGATTGGTTAAGGGTGGAAATGGCCACCGCTAGCCCCTCATCTAGCTATGCTTCTGCAGCCTGCATTAAATATAGACGTGCAACCAGGTGCTGTATATTGACCTAAACATGTATTTAATACATCTTAAATTAAACTAATAGTTTGGTCAAAAGTTATGCAGTTTTGCTTTAACAAAGTATAGATTTATACAGAAAACATCTGCTTTCACAGAAGCAGCTTGATGATTAAAAGCTAATAGTACATTTTATTAGTAGCAGCTTCATGGTCATCAGAAATGTGAGGAAAGAAATTTGGATGTAATAGTTTTGGGTTTTTTTTTTTTTTTTTTGCTTTATTATTTACACATTAATATTACTCTAACTTTTTTTGTAGGTTCAATGTTAAAATTTAGTCTGACCTCATCATAGCAAATAAAACCTGGATAGAAAAGGAGACCCAGGTTCATATCCCAGTTGCACCAGGAAGGGCATTCAACATAAAAACAGCCAAATCTGTCTGCAAATTATAATGACAGCTGGAAGGACTCCCTCACCTACTGTCCCTTGCCAATAATTAGCCATCTCATATTATTTCAATTCCAATGCTGCATTATGGTTTGGATTTGTCTTTTTTGCCATATATTCTGGATAAAATGAAATATTTGTTTTTTATATAAGAATTTCAAAATATTGGCAAAGACAAATGATTTTTATTCTGTCCTAAAAGCTTGAATGTATTTGTTTTCAGAGAATTTACTTTCATTCTGTTATGATTTACTTTTCCAAACAAGTTGTTTTTCCAATTTATATCTGAGTCCATTCTACTGTTATTCTGTATTATACTGTATGGCAGTAAATTCCATCTTCAAACACAGTAATTCTTATAAGCATTTAGCATTTTTGTGTTTCTTAAATATTTTTGTGCTCTCTCACCAAGCAGGATGACTCCCAGAATTGTTGTGCCACAGTCTGATGCCCTGCAGCTCACCCAAACAGGAGGGTGTAGTCAGCAGGAACAAATCCACTGCTCCCCTTTCAAACACAGGCTTCTTTGGATCAGTCAGGTGGTGAGGCTTACTGTTTCCGTCTGCGCCAAGGAGAGTGACTATAACCTAAAAAAAAAAAAAAAGGAAATACTTTGTTTTAAAAATGAACCTTTACTGAACATGAAGGGCTGTGGACACTACATACAATACATCCTGTGAAGATGTGGCTAAATACATGAATATGTAGTTTGTGTATCCTTATCTGGAAAAAAAGTGCAAACCTTTATTTGCATATTTTTTATTAAGTAGCATTAAAATATAGCTACAGCACAGGTGTAAATTGATGTATATTTTGAAGAGTAATCTGAACAAACTCAGTGGCAAAAGATCCTATAAAAGGAAAACATTGTTTTAACAAATTTATCAGTGCAGCAATTGCTGGCATCCCAACCAAACTGTAACTTAAATACAAATATTTTAAGTTACATCTAAGTTACAAAAAAGCCCTTTTTTATCAGAATAATTCCCTAGAAATCTATTGCTGTCCTTTGCTGTAAGCACTGTAGGTTGTTAGTGGAAGTATCAAATATTTCATGGACATTTAAAGATAATATAGATATAAAGTTTGGACCTACCCTCTAACCCTGGTGTTTATATTTGTCTGATGCAGAAATTGGTCTGTGCAGCTTTATAATGTTTGGCTGTGTTTCACAGATATAGAAAGCTTAAATTAAATGGAAACTGATTGTTGGCTGAATGTTTGGGAAACAAGCAAAAAAGCACAGAAAAAGGACTTGTTTACATGATTGCCTGAAGGCAGCAAAGTTAGTTTCAGAATATTGCATAATTAGCACTTTGATGTTATGTTTTAACTTGATCTGTAACTAGTTTAGTTAAAAAAAAGACTTGAGATTTAAAAGATATAACCTTAACCAGTGGCTCCTAAACCTTTAGTTTTTTTTTTTTTATTCAAATAACCCATACATATATTCATAATATTCTTTAATCAAACATACTTAAATGACCTCACTAACTTCTGTAGTTCATCACATTTTGGCAATAATAATTTTTTTGTTCTGCATATTCGTACCCTCAAAGTTTTTGCAGCTGTTATCCCATTCAGGTGAGATAAGCATTATTTGAAACTTAACTGATAGCGATTTGATGTTTGTTTATTCTGAATAAATGCATTTTTATATATTCTACTACCTGAGAAGATGTGGAGGCTCCCATTCGATGCCCAGTGCAAACACACAACAGATAGCGGTAAGTATCCGTAGGGTCGTTGTCCTCAAGAACTGTTCCCTTCACCTGCAGATGATAAAAGAAGCATACGGACTACCATCTAATCCATCTGTCCATCCTGAACTCTGATATGTTTTGTTAAGCTGGTTTTACTTGCTTATCTGGACCATAATTCCCATAAGAAAGTATGTAGATTCTCTGAGCAGGCAAATATTGTAAATTGTATGATCCAAAATGACACCAAAACTAGACTTGACAAGAACAAATTATGAATTAAAGTTGCTGGAGAGAAGCTTTACCTTGACTGTGTCTTTAATGTCTTTTCTTCGTGCCAACACAACCGCAAGGAGGTAGGTCGCAAACAGAGCCCCGACAAAGCACACGACCACGGGATTCTCAGCAAAGGTTGCAAAAAGCTCAGCAGTGCGTGAAGGATCGACAAGATTCGGAGTCACAAAAAAAGAGCTCCCAAAAAATGTGAGGTGATTGCAGAGACACTGGGTGACTAAATTTGTGGTCTTCACACCAACCTTGAAGAACAAACAATTTTTACTATCATAAAGAATGCTAAAAGCTGTCTCTTTATAATAAATGATTATCCTTACTCTGCAGCCAGAATCCTCCCAGTCCAACAGAGTTTCATTCCAAAATTTGCATGAGGATGTGATGGGGGTAATAGATAATGTGGCATTGATAGATTTTATACCTGGACCAACAATTGGTTTAACCACCAGATAATGTAACCCAGTGTTTCCCTGAAAAGTTGTAGGGCTAAGTAGCCATGTATATCTTTCTTCTGTATCAGACACAAAAATAAATATTAAGTTACCTAAAATTTAAATGATAAAAATAGAGGAAAACACTGATTACCTTCAGTTGTTCCTGGAAGAGGCATCTCGGTCATTGCTACATAATTGGTGTCAGTGGGATAATCCATGTAACCAAGGAAAAGTTTAAAGGGTAGAGGATCTTCTGAAGGCACCATCTTTAAAACAAATAGTGAATTTAGATGCTTTAATATTATTAGCAGTGCTGAGATCTAAACGCATATGTAATTACAATGTCTTTCTAAAAGTGAACTTTTTCACATTTTGATAGCATAACGACCATAAAGAAGAGACTTTTATGTTTTAAACAAATAGAAGACATATATTTAAGAAAGGTTGCTCTGCTCCTCAGCTCTAAATGTGTCGGGAGCTGGAGAAGTTCCATCTTTCTCCAGCAGAGTCCGCCATGGATCCTCCTGAGCTGAGCCTTCGACACACCTGAGGCGCATCTCATCATCAGAGGATCCACAGTATATAAACTGCCTTCAGACCTTGCCTCGACGCCGCAGTGTTAAATCCAGTTTGGTTAGCACCTAAGCCTAGTATCTTCTGAGAACCTTTGTTGCCATTGAATCCAGATTGGATTCTAACCCTTTGTCTCTGCTTTCAGGAATCCTGTTTTTCTCCTGTGAAGCTCTGGAAGAGCTTAACCTGCCGAGCCTGCCCTCTGAGCCAAACCTGAAGACTCTTCTCTGGATTCCCATGCAGCTCTGGACTAAGACTGGAAACTCAAAGTCAAGGTCTGCCCTCTCGCTAGAAGTAAGACGCTGAAGCAGTTATCGGACTCTGCTGAACAAAACAATCTCTGGACCCAACAGTTCCTCTCCCAAGGCTTTAACTGGACTACTCTAGGTACAAACCTGAAACTCTCAAAGTCAAACTCCACTGATCCAACGCTAACTGAACTGTCTCCTACACAGACTCCAGTGAACCAGCCCCCAGGCCTGAACCAGTACAAGTGTTATTTCCATGTGCTTTGTGAAACAATAAACTTGTTAAACTTTTCTTCAGTCTCCGTGGTGTTCTGCATCTTGGGCCTCTCAGTAACCCATCATGACAAAATGTAACCTTTTTCAATTGTTGATAAACCTTATTTTGTGCAAAACTTATACCGCAAATTCATCTTAAACACACCATACACACTGAAATATGGTGGTGAGGGATTCATGCTAAGGGGCGTATTATTTTTTTAGCCAACGGCAGGACAGTGAGGTCGGAGCAGATAGGAAGATAAATCATGCTCAGTACAGGATATAAACAGGATATGGATAGTGACACTAATAATATTAAACATAACTTAGAAGTTGTCACTTAAAATCCAGGTCATGCTTATAAAAGTATGTGGATATGTGTGTGCAGAGGTGAGCTTTTACAGTAGGTTTAGGATGACTTTAGTGATTCCATAAAATATTTCATATCTACTAAAATGTTAACTGCACATTTACTGTTTTAAGAAAGGTAAAAAGCCAACTGACCTTTAAAAGAAGAGTATAGTCATTTGAAGGAACCTCAATGGCTGCTGTGCTGTAGTTACCAAGATCCAAAACAGAGGAGTTAACTTGTTCAGCAGAAGGTCTTGGCAGAAGAATCTGGGACATCAGCCAAAAGCAGACATATGGTAAATGGCATGTACTTATATAGCGCCTTTATTCAAGTTAGGAGACTTGACCAAAGCGCTTTACACTACATTCATTCACCCATTCACACACACACTCACACACTGATGGTGGCAAGCTAAATTGTAGCCACAGCTGCCCTGGGGCTCACTGACAGAAGCGGGGCTGCCGTACACTGGCGCCACCGGGCCCTCTGACCACCATCAGTAGACAATGCAGGTGAAGTGTCTTGCCCAAGGACACAACGACAATGAAAGTCGGAGTCGGGGCTTGGACCGTCAACCCTTCGATTTCAGGGCAAACTCCTACATCCAACGCCACTGTCGCCCCATACATGCATATATACATTTATATAAGCATTCAAATAACCGTTTATTCTGTTAATGTTTAGCACATTCACAGAGGGTTCACTGCTTTAATTGGAGTTTTTTTTTCTTTGACTAAGATAAATATGAAGAGGTCTGTTTACTCCTGTTATTCCCATTATCATAAATAATATCAGTTTGATTCAGATATCCCCATGGCTCTGAACTGAATTATAAGTAGATTAATTTCTCCACTGTTTTGTGTGCAAATGAATGGAGAAAACTTAGAAATAGCATTTAATTTTCTCTTTTCACACTTTAATAGTTTGTGCTCCCATGCCCACAAACCAATTGGACAAGATTATTCTGCACAGTTTCAAGATCCAGGCTCATAGCAGACCCAGGGATGCAAACAGTAGAAGTAGGTCTATTTTAATGCCTTAGGGGTGGGTGTGTTATGTGCTAGGAATGATTTAGCTGAAAATCGAAACCCCCTCTGGCCTAATTCAAACTCAGTTCCTTTCAGTATGACACATCTAATCTGGAGCATGTTACATTTTTAAACAAGAACAGGAAAAAAAAAAAAGGATGTATAAAGAGTAACTTTGAAAAACAGTACATTTTTTAAATTTAACCTCCTCTATACCCAGATGATATTCTGAGCAATATGAAAATTGCATTCCAACATTTATATTATTTATTAATTCATTCATCATGTTAAACATGTTATTTATATCTATATATGTTTGTATATATATATATATATATATATATATATATATATATATATATATATATATATATATATATATATATATATATATATATATATATGCAGCCATATACTGTATATAGGGAAACAGCTTTATAGAAATCCAAACATTTCCGCAAATTTTGACATTTACCTTAATTTGCGACCAAAAATTCCACACAAACTGTTTTTCAATTCATATTAACATACAGGTAGAAACGTTCTTCTCTTTTTTTGTTTAAAAATAAAAGAAAAATTTCTTGGGAGGATACTCTGAAATCTTCTCAGTGAGGTTTGTTTCAAAAGGTAATCACAGTTCAGTAAAAAAAAAACCAGATGATGCAGTGCTGCTACACTGACCTCAATATCTTCACTTAAGTTCTCCACAGGGATACCGGATCCATCTTGTCTTGTGAGGGACAGACCACCTATTAGGCCACTGATGTTTCCTTTCTCGTTCCAAGAAAAGGGGTTTATATCTAAACTCAGCATCTGTTGTTGTATTGAAAGAACAAATCCTGACTCAATCTCATTTCAAGAAAGACACTTTAGAAAATTGAGGAGAACTTTGATCAAGCATGCACAGCGTCTGGAAAACACCTGTTCTTGGCAACACTGATTTCACATGAAACACTTATTTTGACTTACTCGAACATCCACTGGTTCCTCTGAGGGAAACATGTCAGAAGCCAGTTGAGGCAGAGAAAATGAGGGCTGAGAACTGGAGTTGGCACTTATGGGCTCTGTGTGTAAACTTTCATGTGTCACTCTGCAGGATGAAAGGAGCAGGCATTAAATTAAGCTGTGAAAAAATACAAAAGACCTTTTTCCATTTTTAGTTTTTACCTGACAGTAATGGTGTGGCTCTGAGCAGGCTATAAAATTATACAAACATTGTCTAATGGGTATGAAAACATAAATTCAACACATTCAATGTTTTTCATTATTGAGAAATTAGAAAAGCTGTGTGCAGGAGATGACTTACGTCTCATCATGCACGTTAAGTAATAACTTAGAGGGTGTTGGCCTAGTGGGTTAGAGATTGTGCTCTGAGAAGGTTGCAAGTATCCAGTTCGATCCCCACATCCTCCACTCCAGGTTCTTGAGCAAAACCCTTAACCCAACAACGCTCCCTGACTGCCACACAATGGCAGCCCACTGCTCCCCAAGAAGATGTTGGGTTTTTTTTTCTCCCGATTGTCACCATTCTTTACAATTTTGGTTTTGTTCCTTGAGATTTACGGGGCTCTATTTCTTTTTAGCTCGGCGGTCTACAGCATGACACAGCCTAAGGGTCTGGGTTTAAACTGAGCCATTGCAACATTTAAATGGTTTCTTTTAAAGCTGCTCGTCAGAACATTCGGTGCTTTTTAATTGGGGCTGACCTCACATTGTACTCTAGAATAGTTTGGTATGGAGAACAATTTATGGTCCACTTGATTAATTCAATGGACGCCCAAGTTACCGCCTGTCCAGCACCATGCTTAAAGATTGATAAAAGGTGTTTTGCTGACATGATGCACTATACACAGTAGTTCTGATGTTTTCATTTGGGAGCACTTGCTATAGGACATTATTTCAGAGGTTTAAGGATTTATTCAAATACAAGTTTTCTATGTTAAATAATTCTGAAATGTTATTTTTAGTAAGGTTCCTCCTCAAACCCATTCCAAAAAGGCTATACTAGTTCAGTCTTTTGTGTCATTAAGTTACAACCGCACACTTCACTAAGGAATGAACCTGACACTGAAATTGAATTCTGGAATGTTTTTTATTTTTTTTTTTAGCATGACTGAGATGAACTAACTGGGACATCAACTCCTGGAAAGATCTGCAGAAGTCTTCAATACAATTTTCACTGTGTTATGATGGATTTCAGATTTTTAGAAATATCTTTTTAATCCCTCCTAGAATGATGGGCAGCAAAAATTGCTTCTCTAAGTTCACCGGTGATTACTTTTCTTCACCAAAACGCTGCAAAATACAAACCTCTCTGCTTCTAAAGGTAAAGTCAGCAACTGTTGTCCTTTTTTTTTTTTTTTATTAAATTCCAAAAGAAAATGTCTTTCGTTTTTTTTTCAAACCAAATGTCAGCTTCAGTATAATTCACTGCATAGTATTATAGTCAAATCTGTTGTTTTAAAAACACTTTTTTTTTTGAGTACCTGAAGAGTCAAACCTTGTCCTTCAGGGATAAACTGTGTACCAAACATACTATGTATGTCAATGACACCTATTCAATCTCTAATTCATAAAAAGTTTGTTTTTCTTAGAGTTTGATATCAAACTATACCTACCTTTTAACTAGTAGATTAATGTGAGGTTGTTGTATTATAATCGGGTCTTCGTTAATCTTCATTGTTTTCAACAAACCACTTTGTGTAAAGTTGAGAGCATTAAGCAGAGCATCAGAGATGTTTTTCTGCAAAACATTAAAAAGTTAATTATTTTCAAGAACATTAACCACCTACACTAGACCATATTGCCTGGATCAGTTAAGACCTACTGCAATACATTTTGAAATTATAGTTGCTTTTTGGGCCCTGCTGATTAAAATGCATCAAAAGAAGTGTTAAAATCTGCAAATCCTCCTTTGAAACATCTCAAAGAAGTTGACAACTCACGCTGGAAGAATACTCAAACATCTTGCTTGCTCCTTCCACTATGGCCGTTGCTGCAGAGAGAAATGCTTCCTTGTCTTCAGCTGTGCTCACATTCATATCCAGGAGAGATTGGCTGATGTTAGCAAACAATGCAGCAGCATCAATCTGTGCATGGAATATCAGCTTGTTGAATGACAGTCAGAGTGGGGTCCAAAGCTAATTCGACTATACTTGCATTGTTTGTGGCACTAATGTTTGGGTCATGTTCCCAAGCGAATATCTGGATTTACTCTGCCACACACCACCGGTGAAGGTTATAGCCCTATTCTATCAGAATTTTTGGAATCGCTTTAGTTATTCATAATTTACTAGAGTATGTGGGTCTGAATGCTTTTGTGAGTTATCAGTGCATATGTGGTTGTATGTATTAAGCAGAGGATGGCTTATTTTTATATAATAAAAGACAATCTAACATGAACTAATAAAATCAAATGGCAGTTAGTTTTAAGTAAACATTGCATAATGTAAAAAGTAAAACCTATATTTGTTATGTATATTTATTTGACTAGAAAATATATGCGTGTAACATTTTATTAGTAATGGGTTTAATCACATCTGTTTTTCAGTAAGAAAAAAATAAAAACTGGTATGTTTGCACTGAAGAAACTTGCTATGGTACATAGTATTATAAATGATGACATACAGCATACTCTGTAAGCTGAGATTTACAAATTACACCATTTAATTTGTTATATATGTGTTTTTGGTGTTAGAAAAGCATGACCCCACTACATTCTAAAGTAAAATTTGTATCTAACAATTTTGTTAGATTTGGTCCATGCAGGGGGGCACTCCCTAGTAGCCTGGGTGCCAGTCCGAACTTAGTCCCGCCCACAAGGTTTGAGTTCGGGGAAGTTCGGTCTGGCTCTGCTCCATAGTAGCGCGAGTATTAAAGCCCACTGTCAGGCGATCCAATCAAATTGTCAGGGCGGGCTTTATACGATGATGGACAGATGATCAAGAGTAACGTTATCAACCACGTGACCAAAGCGCGCTTGGGTGACAACAATAATGGCTGCCGCTGGAGAGTTTGGGTGAGTAGATTCTGCTATTAGGTCTTTTCTAGAAGATATCGACAGCAAATTAATTTTAAAAGAGGAACAGAGAAACGCGATCAAGTCTCATCTTCTTATTCTAGGCGTGAAACTGCACGCTTTGATTTTGTGGACAACAACTATGCCTCGCTTAAGATACGTCACGCACTCCGTTGCTCTTATTGGTTGTAGGTCTATCCAATTGAGTGCAGAGGCATTTTTTTTCCTGGTTCGTTCAAAACACGCCCCATAATCACAGCTCTATGGAGCAGTATCAGACTCATATTCTGACTAGAATTGAGTCGGACTACGTCAGGCTAACTCCCTAGGGCTTCAGTAGCACAATCTGAATCCAGTTAATTAATTAATTTTGTTCTTAGATGTCTTCTCATAACTAATTAATTGTAGCTAATTACATCATATTATCTGTAAAGATTTAGCATCTCATATTTTCATTGTTTCTCTTGAAACAAGCTTGTAAAACAATCATGTTTCACAGTTTTAGTTTCTTTGAATTTAAGATAAGTAGGAAATAATAGAAGTAAAAGCTAGTTTTTGAAAATGATGCATGTGGTTTGTCACTTTTTATAGAAGGGATACAAATCGATTAATTGGATTTGGTAAGAAAGATATCTAAGGTTATATTTCTAAGCTATCTCGCCGAGCCCTCATCTACATATGCTAAACTCTTGATTCAAGGGCATCATGACCCATTTTCTGAGTTATGCAATCATTTGGATGTTATCATAGAACGCATGCGACAGTTATCATAAGACTTAAGTTCTAAAGTCCCAAAAGGCATCTGATAAAGAACTAAAATAAGACAAAGACTTTGAAAGAAAATGAATAGGATCTGTCTTGATGAAGATGAACAATATAAATACTAAACCCGTTATTCTAATGTAGACAGTTTTCAAAATATGTGAAATCACTGATAACCCAGCTAATTTCCTTCATAAATTGTTAACCTCTAGATTAACTCGGCGCACGCAACTACTGGACGAAATCTGCCAGCGACGTCTCCCTCGTTTGGCACCAACACAGTGACAGTACACATCCAGAGTGGTCAATACAGTCTTTGAGAAGAGAGATGCTCTAAAGGAACTGTTTCATCACATTCTGGAGCATCATGACGAGTATGATGAGGACTATGTGCGCTGTGCTGATGGATTTAAAGCACGTACTCGTACTCGTCGTCTCCAGCTTTATCTGGAACCGGGCCGCAGGGGCAGCAGACTAAGCAGAGACTCCCAGACTTCCCTCTAAGCTGACACCTCCTCCAGCTCTGTTGGGGGAAGCCCTAGGTGCTCCTAGGCCAGCCGAGAGACATAGTCTCTCCAGTGTGTCCTGGGTTGTCCACTGGGCCTCCTCCCGGTGGGACGTGCCTGGAATACCACCCGATGGAGGCGGCCAGGGGGCATCCGAAGAAGATGTCCGAGCCACCTCAACTGACTCCTCTCGATGTGGAGGAGAACCGGCTCTACACTGAGCCTCTCCCGAATGACTGAGCTCCTCACCCTATCTCTAAGGGAGAGCCTAGCCACCCTGCGGAGAAAGCTCATTTCAGCCGCTTGTATCCGGGATCTCGTTCTTTGGGTCATGATCCAAATTTCATGACCATAGGTGAGGGTAGGAACGTAGACTGACCGGTAAATTGAGAGCTTTGCCTTTTTCGCTCAGCTCTCTCTTCACCACGAATGACCGGTGCAGCGTCCGCATCATTGCAGCAGCTCCACCGATCCATCTATCGATCTCCCGCTCCATTCTTCCCACACTCGTGAACAGGACCCCTAGATACTTGAACTCCTCCACTTGAGGCAGGGACTCTCCTCCAACCTGAAAGGGACAAGCCACCTTTTTCCGGTCGAGAACCATGGCCTTGGACTTGGAGGAGCTGATTCTCATCCCGGCCGCTTCATACTCGGCTGCAAACCACCCAGCGCACGCTGTAGGTCTTGGCAGGAGGGAGCCAGTCCCACAAAACACATGTGGACTGGTTGGGCAAACTCCCATGAACCCTCAAGCACCCTGCAGAGGGTGTAGAGCTGGTCCACTGTTCCATGGCCAGGACGAAAACCACACTGCTCCTCCTGCAGCCCAGGTTCGACAATCAGCTGGACTCTCCTCTCCAGCACCCTGGTATAGGCCTTTCCGGGGAGGCTTAGAAGTGTGATTCCCTGATAGTTGGAACACACCCTCTGGTCCCCCTTCTTGTGGAGGGGAACCACCACCCCGGTCTGCGAATCCAGGGGAACTGTCACCGAGCTCCACGCGATGTTGAAGAGACGTGTCAACCATGACAGCCCGACAACATCCAGAGCTCTAAGATACTCAGGACGGATCTCGTCCACCCCCGAAGCCTTGCCACCATAGAGTTTTTTGACCACCTCGGTGACTTCGGCCTGGGTGATGAACAAATCCAGCCCCAAGCACCCCGTCTCTTCTTCCCCCACCTAAGGCGTGTCTGTCGGGTTGAGGAGATCCTCAAAGTATTCCTTCCACTGCCCGACAATATTCTCCTTCAAGGTCAGCAGCTCCCCACTCCCACTGAAAACAGTGTTAGTGAAGCACTGCTTTCCCCTCCGGAGGCGCCAGACGGTTTGCCAGAATCAGTTTTTGGCCAACCGATAGTATTTTTCCATGGCCTTTCCGAACTCCTCCCAGGACCGTGATTTTGCCTCTGCAACTGCTCGGGCCACGACACGCTTGGCCTCACGGTACCTGCTTGCTGCTTCAGGAGTCCCACAAGCTCGATAGGACTCCTTCTTCAGCTTGACAGCATCCTTTACTATCGGTGTCCACCACCGGATTCGGGGATTTCCACCACGACAGGCACCGCAAACCTTATGGCCACAGCTACGGGCAGCCGCATCGACAATAGAAGCAGAGAACACAGCCCATTCAGACTCCATGTCTCCAACCTCCCTCGGAACCTGAGAGAAGCTCTCCCGGAGGTGGGAGTTGAACACGTCCCTGACTGAGGGTTCCACCAGACGTTCCCAGCAGACCCTCACTACACATTTGGGCCTGCCGAGTCGTTCAGGCTTCCTCCTCTTCCAGAGTATCCAACTCACCACCAGGTGGTGGTCGGTGTACAGCTCCGCCCCTCTCTTCACCCGAGTGTCCAGGACATGCGGCTGAAGATCAGAAGATACGACTACAAAGTTGATCATCGACCTTCGGCCTAGGGTGTCCTGGTGCCAAGTGCACCGATGGAAATCCTTATGCCTGAACATGGTGTTCATTAAGGACAATCCGTGACTTGCACAGAAGTCCAATAATGAGACACCACTCGGGTTCAGAGCTGGGGGCCCGTTCCTCCCTATCACGCCCCTCCAGGTGTCACTGTCGTTTCCCACGTGGGCGTTGAAGTAACACCCTCCCCAGGGATACTAAGAAGGCCTGGTACTCCGTACTGCTGTTCAGCCCATAGGCCAAAACAACTGTCAGAGTCCTCCCTTCAACCGAAGGCGAAGGGATGCGACCCTCTCGTCTACCTGGGTGAACTCCAACACGAGACGGCTGAGCTGGGGGGAGACAAGCAGCCCCACCCCTGCCCTCCGCCTCTCCCCGCGGGTCACTCCAGAGTAGAAGAGAGTCCAGCCTCTCTCAAGGAGCTGTATTCCAGAGCCCTGGCTGTGCGTAGAGGCGAGCCCAACTATTTCTAGCTGTTATCGCTCCACCTCCAGCACAAGCTTGGGCTCCTTCCCCGCCAGTGAGGTGACATTCCACGCCCCTAGAGCCAGTTTAAGCACCCGTGGATCAGGTTGCCAAGGTCTCCGCCTCTGGCTGCCGCCCAATCCTCTTTGCACCGGTCCCTCATGGTTCCCCCTGCAGGTGGTAAGCCCACTGGGGGATGGCCTCGCGTCGCTCCTTCGGGCTGGGCCCGGCCGGGTCCCGCGAGGAAGAACCCGACCACAAGGCGCTCGCCGACGAACCCCAACCCTAGGCCTGGCTCCAGGGTGGGGTCATGGCACCGCCGTACCGGGCGACGTCACTTGCCTCGTTGTAGTCCTCGTCATAAGGGTTTTTGAACCGCTCTTCGTCTGACTTGTCACCCAGAGCCTGTTTGCCTTGGGAGACCCTACCAGGGGCATTTAGCCCCCGACAACATAGCCTCTGGGATCACCCAGGCACTGAAACCCCTCCACCACGTTAAGGTGGCGGTTCAAGGAGGGGGATTTAAAGCACGTCTGGGTGATTTTGAGTTTTGTTTTTTGCTTGACACATTTAATGGCATTTTTGAGTACTCAGATGTGCTCTTTTCAGTACTACAGGACAAAAAACTGGATGTACAGTTTTGTCTGGCAAGGGTAAAGGAGTTTTGTGACACTGTTACGCGAGAGAGGAGCCGATACGAGGAAATCTACGAGGCTACAGAATGCACCGCGGGTGCTCCGAGCGCACGAAGAGGTCCAGCACAAGATCCTCGCGCGCACTACCACCAACTCTACGACAGGATTCTGGACAATGTTATTTGCCAGACGCAGACCAGATTTGAAGACCACGAAAAACTGATCTTTGTCACCCTCCTCGACCCCCAGAAATTTCGGGAATACCAGAAAAATTTCCCTCATGCAGCCTTTCCCAGCTTAGCACAGAGCCACGGAACACTTATCGATCTACCTCGGCTAAGAACAGAGCTAACTGTAATCTATGCTATAGATGATTTTGAGGGAAAATCTCCCACTGATCTCCTTGACTTCCTTCAGCAGAAAAATCTCAATGAGAGCATGACGCAGCTATACACATTTGAGTGTTTGGCAGTGACCATCCCCGTGTGTACTGCTTCTGTTGAACGGACATTCTCAGCCCTTAAGCGAATTAAAACTTATGCCAGAAATACGACAGGGCAGGCTTGACTTACGACAGGGTAGGCTCGACTTTTAGCTTTAGCTTCGATGGCGATAAGGACTTCTTGATGGAACTGAAACGCACGGATAATCTGCACAACAGAGTTATTGAAATCTTCTTGAGGAAAGAAAGGAGGATTGATTTTGTGTACAAATAATCAGGATTTTTGGTGTGTAAAATGTTACTATATTTCTAATTAATATTGCAATTTTATCAGGTTATTTTTTTTTATGTGTGTCGCAGCTGTACCTGCAGTAGAAGTTCTATAGCCATAAAATAGTTATTGAGGGTTGGATTGAGTCAGACGTAGCACTACCGCAGGCCTAGGTGTGAAATGTACGGCCCGCCACTGGTGGTTCTAGATTCCCAATGATCTAAACCTAAACCACATAAAGTAACATTTTGAAAACTTCTGTATATTTAATTTATAGCTCAGTCTAACCTCTCTGACTTTAACCTTCATTCTCTTTTTTCCAAAAAACTTCTCAGACATCAGACAATAATGAACTGTCCACTGTTTGTTTAACGTCATTGTAAATTGGGGTTTAGGTGTTGCACCTCAAAGTAGAGTGAAATCATCAACTAATATAGTAGATTACACTGTTGAAACAATTATTAAAAATAGGATGTCTTTCTGATCCCTTTATCCTTTAAAAACAATAGCAAAAAATGCAGAAAAAGTTGCTAATATTTAAAGTGTAGAGATGTATTATAAGTTGCAACAATTGTGGTTCAGGTTACTTTTCCAAAACAATAAAATGCCATTACCTGTGCAGATAAACTGAGTTCATCGCCTTTCTGGATAAGACAGATAAGCACTCTGGCTACCACGTGAGCCTCTTCTGGAATTTTTAAAGGAGATTCCTCTATTGTATCAATCAGCAAATCAATCATCTTCTCTCTCAGCTTTGAAAAAAAAAAAAAGGTATATATTTAGTCTTTTGTTGTTAAGGGGGGAATGGTATGACATGAGGGGAAATAAAAGTATAAAACAGTTAGCTATGCAGAGTTAGTGAACATTTTTCTTTGGGATGCTCCAATAAAGCAACATCTGGAAAATGAGGCCAACTGGAAAATCCCTCCCTCTCTCACTTATTCAATTTATTCCTATACAGCCAATTTTAAGAAAGGCATTTTACTAGAACACAAAAAATGCATTTATAAGTAGAAAAACACATTGCCAATTTTATTGAATAATTAGACAGATTCAAATGAAATGACATACACGCTATTCTAGTTACACAAAAACATATTTAAAAATATTATGTTATTTGTTCACGAGTAAGGGACGGATGGAGCGCGAGATCAATAGATGGATCGGTGCGGCGATGGAAGTGATGTGTTCGCTGTATCGGACTGTTCTGGTGAAGAGGGAGCTGAGTCAGGGGGCAAGGCTCTTTATTAACCAATCGATCTATGTTCCCATCCACCTATGGTCATGAAATCTGGGTAATGACCGAAAGAACAAGATCGCAAATACAAGCGGACTTATCACAGCTTTGGGGTGCCAAACTGTTTTTTGTCTTTGTAATTGAAGAGAAAGAATCTAAGAACTAATACATGCACATACTGTCAGTAAAAGCACGAGTATATGGCCCCAACCTATTTTAAAGAGGGTAAAAGGGGTCATGTCATGAGGAACTCAAGTTAAACCAAACTGTTGAGCCAAAAATGAAGCAAAGTTGAGCATCAGGCTAAGCACATGTTAGTCCATTATTTGACAGAGTAAAGCCAATATTCCGATATGGCTATTTTTGGTTTAAAACTGTGCTACATATTTTCTATATAGATCTATATGTGATCAAAAGATTAGATAAACATTGTGTTGATTTCATTAAGATGGAATAGAATGGAAATGTTAAAAGGACCTTCATCTAAAATATAATCCATAAAAATAATTGATTAAAGCATGATAAAACATGAGTAGTTAATGATGGTATTTGTTCGTATAATAATATACATTTTGGTGATCTAGTCAGTTCATGAAAGTGATGTATGTGAAAATAAAACTGTCAAGTATAGAGACGGTAATCTGACAAGGTATAATAAGGACTGTTGAAGTTCTACTGTTTGATCACTAGAATGCACAGTATAGACGCATTGTGATATAAAGCAGAAAAAGTTGGCCAGCATTTTGTGAAGCAGTTTAGAGCAAACGCACCGAGCAACTCCTCCGATAACCTGCTGCATGTTTCTGTTTTGCAGTTTCTGCAATAATAAATATGTAGCGCTGACGGTGAGCTGGCCCATCATTTTCAAAAGGGTACCAAGAATATTACTCAATCTATTGTTGACAAAGTAATGTTGCTTTATGGTTATATTGTGGCCAACATAACAGGAATAAACCTTAACTCAGTATCTTTACTCAGTTCAAACTCGAGCCAAAGATTACTAGATAGATTTAACTTGGTTAAATTAGAAAAGACTTATCACTTTACGTTGACTACAAAGAGTACCATAGAGCTAGACAAGGTAAAGACCACCGCTTGAGCAAGCTGGGGATCCAAGCACTTCTGCAGAGCCACAGGTTGATCTTCATAACAAGCTGCATCTTGTTTAAATTCATATACTAACAAATATATGTGCTTACAGTATTTAAAATTACTATGTTTGATCTCATGTAGTGTTCCAAAAAACTTTTTTTTTTCTGTTTTACCTTAGCTAAAATAATATATATTAGAAATACACATTTAAATATCAATGTATGCAATGAATATGTGTGTTTTGCCTTTAAAAATGAAATATTTAAATAAATACCTTTCCACCACAATTTATTTTTTTAGATGTAACTTTTAAGTGTCTAAATAAATAAATAAAATAAGTCTATTCCACTAATAAGGGAGAGGGATAAAACCTGTTACAGTTTAACAAATCAACCAAGACACTGTAACAGTGCTGTAACAGCACTGTTAATCACTGTTGTAGGTAGAATCAGCATTTTTTTCCCCACTAGCTGGGCTCTGTTGAAAGGCCCCAATGTGTCTTGATAAATTTTCCAATATATAATCATGCACTTTAATTAGATATTTGGACATTTGAAAACACTGCATACATCAGACTAATGGATATCCCTCACAGTGAATTTACCTCTTTTCGATCTTCTTTTTCTGATTCATCAGTTTGGCTGTTAAGCTTTTCACACACAGAATTTAACATTTTTCCAATAGTGTCTCCTGATAGACCTTCATTCTTTATCTTTTCCACAGCCTCCTGTACTTCAGAATCCAGATCATTCACTGAGGTTAAGGCTGAAGTCGATGGTATCACAGAAGATATAGCTGCCGCTGTGGCAGCAGACGTAGCTGCCGCAGACGAAGCTGCCGCTCCGGCAGCAGACGTAGCTGCCGCTCCGGCAGCAGTGGTAGCTGACCCTCCGGCAGCAGATGTAGCTGCCGCAGACGTAGCTGCCGCTCCAGCAGCAGACGTAGCTGACCCTCCGGCAGCAGATGTAGCTGCCGCAGACGTAGCTGCCGCTCCAGCAGCAGACGTAGCTGACCCTCCGGCAGCAGATGTAGCTGCCGCAGACGTAGCTGCCGCTCCAGCAGCAGACGTAGCTGACCCTCCGGCAGCAGATGTAGCTGCCGCAGACGTAGCTGCCGCTCCAGCAGCAGACGTAGCTGACCCTCCAGCAGCAGATGTAGCTGCCGCAGACTCAGACGATGGAGTTGGGTCTAGGATGTACTTTTTATAACGTAAGTTATTATTCACTTTAGAAAACAAGAACAAAAACAGTAATTAGGAGTGGTTTTCAGTAAATGATATTCTAAATGTGTATGGAGCTAAAACTGAGACAGTTTGCTTTGATATTGAAAAGAAGATTTTGCATTGTGAAATTAATCAAATATTGACATTTCAAACATTGGTGAGTTAAACATTGCAACTGATATTAGCAGTATTTGCGAAACTCTGTCAATATTTGACTTTTTAGTTTTTGGAATGACAATGTTTGATCCACAAACAGGCTTAAATTGAAAGGTGATAGGACTTTCGCTCAGTTTTTGAATACCTAATGTCTGAATTTCAGAAATTTTCCAGTGTAAGATTTACAGTATATAACTGAAATTTGAGAATGTTCATTTATATGTATTTCCCCAATTGTTTTTCTTTTAACCTAAAGTGCAGAACGTATATAGAAGTTGTCTGATTTTTTTTTAAATAATGAAAACCTAGCATTTTAAAAGTAGTGGGTTCACCTTGTGCAACTGTCAATGTTATCAGACTTGGAGAGTTCAGTACACATAAGTCAGGTAAATATTTTGACATTTCATAATGGACAAAATATTTTAACAAGACAAAACTTAAAAAAGTTAAAACACACTCACATGAATAAATTAATACAACAGTTATATCCTTTCTTTTGTCTGATGCATAGTGAATATCACTTTGGGGAATAGCATATTCAGGATTTTGTTCCTGTTTGTTACGGAGTGGTTTTTGATTTGCTTCTCTGTAGCAATCCCTTGTAGGCTGTAAAGAAATTAACATAATTTATTTGCTCTGCAGATATACCTTTTTAACCTGTGCATGTGTTTAGAAGAAAGCAAAACTTATAATACTTACACCCTCTGGCTCGTGGCCTGTTATTTCCTCAATGTACCACACAATATCCGAACACGAACTGCACTCCATTTTTACTTTTGTGTCCATGGATGTGTTGATTGGGTCACAGTTCTCAATGCAGCTGATACTATGATATGAACAATCAGTGTATTGTTAGATCTGGGCTGCACCATATATATGTAAGAAAAGAATTTTAAAAATACATTTAAAAAAAAATGCATCCAAGGCCAAATTTTCAATTATCATTTTTATTTCAAAGCAAACATTTGTGTGTCCAGTAGCTCAGGCAATCACTCCTCAGTTAATCTATCCTCAAAATAGATAAACAGAAAATTTTAAAAAGGGACAATGCAACAGCAAGTCTATGATTGCGGGTAACCAGTGATTGTTATTTGTGTATTTGTGTTTTGTTTGCAAGGCTGATAGATATTTTTCTCTAAATGAGAGATGTTTTGCAGTGTCTAGGGGAGGAGACCCTTCAAACCATAGATAGTTGTGGGATAGACGCATAGAGTATCAATAAGAAATAAAAATAATAAAAAAAGGTTAAAGGCTTTTAGTCTGAAATAACAAAAATTCTAAAAAAAATATGACCAAACATTGTCTGTCTATATATTTTTCTAAACTTTAGAAAAAGGGAACATCAATCATGAGGAGAGGATCACTTTAAGACCACAAGAGTTATAAAGATTTTTCTATTGTGAAGGTAAAAAGGTAAATTGGACTTGCCTGTTTTTGCTTATTTCATAATTAAACACCTTCATTTCAAACCCACCCTAACCAAATATAAAAAATATTTCAATGTTTAATTTGGGAATGAAAAAATTAATCAGGTTAATCGTGATTTATTAATTATTGAAATAATCGTTAACTAATTTAGTAATCAATTAATTGTTAAATGAATAATCGAGACTGTAAAACATGCCTTTAGTTGACAGAGCGACCCACTTAGAGTAGTAATTAAATCAAAATTGTGTAAAACCTAGTTTAATTTCGTAAAAGATCTTGTTTGGCTGTCCGATTATTAATTAATTAATCTAAAAAAAAAAAAATCAACAGATCAATCAATTTACAAAACAATCGTTAGGTGTATCCCAAAAACAAAAAACAATTTTTCTTAATAGCCATTCCCTCATATTTTTTCATATGCATCTCATGAAAATAATAAATAATAAAACGTTATATATATATAATTAAGATAAATAAAGCGTTTAATTTATATTAAACGTTATATATATATATTGTAAACATGGAAGTCATGATAAAAAGGCATTTCAGAAATAACTGAACAATTTTCAATACCTGACTTGATTCGATTCATCTGAGGTTGGTTTGAGGGTGATGCATGTGGATGTCCCTTTCCAGTTATCATTGTTTTTTCTATACTCAAACGAATAACTGTCAAAGTGAAAAGGATCTGGCAGACAGTTTCCTTGAATGGTTTGTTCAAGTTCTGTTGACTCAGCTTCACATTTACAATTATCTCCTGTAAAAAAAAAACAAAAAAACATGTCTTATTAGCCCACAAAGAGCTAAGCCCAACAGTTTTTGCACCTCTGACAGATTTTTTTTTATTTATTTTTAGCTGTATTTATTTAACCAACTACTGCACCTCTATCTAAACATGGCATTTAGAAGATTACAGTAGCAGCTATTCATAATGGCCCTTCCCAGTAAAACAAGTGCTATGAGGGTTAACAAAGAACCGAAGGTTGCTTCAGGTGCAGCTTGAAATCCCCCGTCCTCCCACCCTACTACGCCTCAGGGAGTTTTTTAAAAGGTTAACCCTGGGGGAAAAACTGAACTTGTAGAAGTAGACAACACAGCTATACCCCACATTTTCAAAGCCTTTGGTCAGGGGTGAAAGTATGGTCTCGTACTGTGTATAAACTAAAGATTGGGCGGTATGCAGAAGCAGGAAGACACCAGCATCAGCGCACCGTTACCAATCTGACCGCAGTGAGACAGTTGGCTTGCGTAAACCTCACAAATGCTTTTCAATAGGTGTGCAACTTTGAGAAACTCTGCTCTGCTAGCTGTCATTGAATGCTGTCCTGTACTGATTTTTTATCCATCAAATAAGAATGTTTGTGGCAGGGTTCAGTCCTTTGTTTGGGTTTATTTTTAAGTTTATTCGTGTTCTGTGTCTTTTTAGTTTATTTCTACCTGTGCTGAGTTCTTAAATGATCCTGTGTTGCCTCCTTGTGCTTGTTTTCCTTTCCCCTTGGCTTCCTCCCAGTTGGTCCTGCCCACACCTGCTCCATATCTTCTGATTAGCTCGTATTGCTTCAGTCTCCCTATATATATATATATATATATATATATATATATATATATATATATATATATATATATATATATATATATATATATATATATATATATATATATATATATATATATATATATATATATATATATATATATATATACCCCTCACCTCTGCAGGCACATAGTGCTGGTTTGTTGTGTTTTGTTGCCTCCTCATCTCTGGTTCCCCAAGTAAGTTCTCCCTGACATATTATTATATATATATTTGGTTCTAAGTATTTTTGTATATTTCCTCAGTTGATCCATTTAATCTGCAACATTCACCTCTCTGTACCTGCATTTGGCTCCTGAAAACCTCAACCCAACTGTTTCTTTTATTGTCACAAAAATGATTAATAATTTTTTTTTTCTTAAGGAAGTTTTCAAACTGGCATCATAAGGTAGATTTCTCAATTAAATAACATTTGAAATGGGTGAAGCTAATTTAACCGGAAACTGTAGTTTTTGTTATTGAAGAGTTAAAATAACTTTTTTCTCTATCTTTCTTTATTGAAATACCTGGGTACAGTGAATGTTGGATCAGCAATAGTACAGCTAAAAGGAAATTAATTTATATTAGTCAGGCCTGAATAATTATTCTACTATTTATTTCTAAAATAATCCAAATAGAGAAGTTAGAGGCAAAAAACAAACATAAAAAGAGTAATTTAATTACATGTAGGCTATAGTGGTCTATATTCTTAAGATGTATGTGTGTTGCAAGAAAAGAATATGAGCTAGTACCTTTATTTTATATAGTACCTAAAAGAATTTAAAATTGCTTTCCCACCTGCTCTTTGTTAAATGCAACAGTGACAATAATTTCTTTCTAAAGTTTTTTTTCAATATTGTTCATCTGATATTTAGGAGTTAAATCAGATTTTTATACACAGCAAACTGTATATATTAAAGCATTTCACTTCAAACAAGATGCAACACCAGAATCCACAAGCCCTTTCACCATGTTAAATTCCCTGAGATTCCTAAACTGGACTGTGATTCCAGACCCCTGATTCCACCACAAAATGTGTAAAATAATATTTATGGATAATGCAGTTTCTTCAAAAAAAAAAATCTTTATTGTGGCAATCACAAGATCTTAATATCTCCATTTCAGCTCTTGTGTATCACAAGCTCTCATTGAAAAACAAATAAATAAATGAGCCAGGTTGTGAGACTTTGGAAAGAGTCATCTTTCCTCACAGATCAGGTTTTTGTTACTGGCTCTCCTACACTGTACTATCCCACATAACTATGCATGAAGCACTGTTATGTTTTTTCTTTTTTTATTTTTTTTTATTTCGTAAGGTGCAATATGAATAAAAATGAGTAATATTACTATTTTTATGATATAACTCCAAGGCTCTATGCAATTGAAACACTTCTTTCTTTTACAGCTACATTCTAATTGTTAGCTGGACACAAAGTCTGCTAATTTTAATGGGTAGAGTCAAATTAATTTGCATCACATTTGTAGACCAAGCATGAAATTTAGTGTCTATGATTTGAAATCTTGAAAACCAGGTCCATAGTCTCAATAGTACATTGCTACCCTTGTGGGTACACACAGATAGTTACTATTGCTTATCCCCCATGAAGACACACAAGAACTACCCCTGTATACACTAACCCTAAGTAGTTCTGATACTCCAGTAGGATCACCAGCCCCAGGACCCAAGAGGTCCCCTTCACTCCAGGGTGGAAACAGGCAGACAACCTGAGCAACTGGTGGCTGGGAACCGCAAAAACCCAAATGCCCTGCCCTCCACATGCAGTGCACCTGCTGGACCACGTCCTGAAACCAGGAACCACTAAATTACACACAGACTTTACTGCTAATATCAGCCTTTCTAGTTGATGCAATAACTGCCACTGGCCTCATGGCACTTATATAAGATGGAAAGCCAGATTAAGTCTATTACTGATGGATCATGAAACCAATATTGTCATTTCCTAAAAACCAGATCGGAAATAAAATTATTTAGACCCCTGACATGTGAAGTAGATTCTCTGCATTTTAAAATAAGAGAGTCTGTCTGAATGCATGGACGGATCCTGCAGGCCTTCAGTGAAAATTCTCGCACAGCAAATTTTAAGACAGATGAGTGTGTGAACATAGGTTGTAGTCAGTGAGATATAAACTAATAGAGATCCAGCATTCCTTTCTGGCTGCCTCACCTGATTATTCATTTTTCACCTTATCCTTACCGGATATCTACTTTCTCTGAGCTGACTTGACATCAAGGCATACAGTAGATAAAGAAAGAATCTTACTGCAGCTCCACCGATATTCATCGGCTTGTTTCATATCCCCTTTTTCCTCAACCGACAGAGTAATAGTTGCATCTGGCCGATTTGCTGAATTTGAAGGATCTGCAGAGATTTTAGCCGGAGATCTCACAACCCTTGCGTGCTTGTTTATCTAAAAGCAACCAAAAAAATTCATATTTGTTTATCATACAGCACACTGCAATCATAAAAAAGTTTTTAAGAATAGAATTACCATATTCTTGGTAAGGCGTAATGAATGCTCAAAAGGACTCTTTAGCTTCACTATCAAGTTCTCATCACAAGAGCCAAACATTTCCTCTTCAAGGCAGGAAAAGGCATTACATGCTTTAATCTTCATCTGTACATTTCCTATAAAATGTCCACAAATCAAGAATCACTCAAAAAATGTATATATTAGTCTGTGAGCCAGCACCAAACTTTTTTTACCCATACATACTGTACCTTCAAGTGGGTAACCGAACTGAAAAACTTCTCTCCTTCTTTTCATTTCTTTAGTTTCCGAAAACGTCCCATTTTTTCCAGTCAGTGAGAAGAAGAGCAGAGCAGGCTCACCGCGGTTAAGAGAAACTCCAAGAGTAATGCATGTAGAGCCAAAGCAATCTTTCGCCTCGTTCAGCAAGGTGGCCTGAAGTCCAGCTAGTTTCTCTAAAACACAAACCTGAAGCATAGATAGAATTTGTTCTGTTTTTGATTCACATTTTCTGGGCAGGCAAAGACACTTTATGAATGTAATATTTGTAATATTTGGATTCCCCCCCATGTGATTCAGTAAAGAATAGCATATTAAGTTAATCACAAATTAAAATCCTAATGCCTCAATTAAGTATGTAATAAAAAATAATCAAAAAGCTCATTGCAAAAATATGAAGGAAAGATGCAACATTTGACTGTGTTTAACTCAAGGGCCATGTAGCATTATGGCTCTCTTACCTGAAGGTTTGTAGAAACGTCTGGAAAAGTCACCAAGTTCGATGCAAAAAGCTTCAGCTTGTGGCAGCCAGGGCCAAGCTGCTTCACTGCCTCAGGACTCAGTGTGATGTTCTGGGGAACATTTCCTTGTACAACATGCAAATCAGCCAGCAGCTTATCATTGTTTTGTATTCTGTAGGCCACGTTTGTTCCTGAAAAAACAACAACACCATCATAAATTCCATATTTAACATAAAACATACAATGGAAAGGAAATAATGGCCTAAACAATAACAGCTGAATGCTATGTAAGTGACAACTTCAAACAGGACAAGATGGTATATTTTATATTATTTCCATCTTATTTCCTACCTGCTTTGACTTTTATTTGAATTTGAAATGCTCCTCCATACAGGGCTCTGCAGTCAGTTTCATGAAAAGACAAATTTCCAACAAAGCATTTGATGGCACCAATCTCTGCAACAGGCTCTTCAACTGTAATTATCTCTTGGGCCATAATGTGTATTTCACTGTCAGTGCATTCAAGCTCCACAACAAATGCACTTGGATGAGTGTATTTATGCACGAGGCTGCTCTTCAACCTGAAAAAAAAAAAATCACACTATCACAGACAAAAGAGAAGGTACGTTGTCGTGTGGGCTTTTACCTTTTAGGGAAAAGCGTGAACCTAGATAACATATGCAAAAGAAAAACAAAAAACAAAAAAAAAACAGTGCATATTGCAAATAAGAATTTTAAAAATACAAATATAAATATATATATATATATATATATATGGTAGTTCAAATATTTTTACAGGAAAGAAAATTCCGCATGGATTAAAAACTGAATATTTGGGCACTGCACAGAAGCGGAGCTAGATGGGGGGCCAAGGGTGGCAGCAGTAATACTCTCAAGTGGAATATTCAAAACATTTGATTTTTTTTTTTTGTGGTTAATTATACACATCAATATACTATAAGTATAGAAGAACCAGATTTTCTGTTATATGGGGTAAAGTATAATAATGTGTCTGCAAGTCAACTAGGGGTCTTCAGTGAAATCAAAGATGAAAAAAAAAAAAACACTTATCAAATAATGAATTAGATGTAGATAGATATTAGTGCTTGTAAATATCACATTTTTGCGGAATGTTTTGTTTGGTACAAGTAGGTAAGTAATGACTATGGAAAAGACTTATGCACCAGAACTTGAAAACTGGGTTTTATCCACTATACCTTTATCTCGAAATTACGGATGTTTAAATATATCCGTCTATCTGTTAGCAAAGGCTGTAGGAAAGAATAGTTTGTCTTTATTTAGAAAATATGGATGTTTTGCTCGTTAATTTTCCTGTTGGAACAGTGTAGATTGACCGTGGGGTTCTAGTGCCTATCTACTTTCAGCCACCTCTCAGTGTACATTGGTAATTGCCTGGCCACCCTTATAAAACATTTCTGGCTACGCCTCTGGCGCTGCAGTAATTTAGCGGTAAATTTGAGTCCTGGCCTGTTGACTTTTATTGCATGTCTTTCTCCTCTCTCTCATCCCCTTTTCATGTCAGCTAACTTTCAATAGAGGCTAGAAAGAGGAAAAAATACTGAACATAGATTTAATGAAAATTGTTAACATAGTATCTCACAATAAAAGAAATAGCAAACAGAAAGTCTTTAAACCCAAGTTTAGACAAAACGAAAACTTAAATCTGTTATATGTGAACTGATTAACTAATATTTGATCTTTAGATAATAGCGAGTAAATTAAATTATGATATTTTCAGCTGTGATTAAAAAAAAAGCCCACAGTTTTAACAAACCTAATCCTTTCAGGAAGTTGGTTCTGTTTTTAGGGAGCAATACTTTAAGAATTTGAAGAAGGACATGAGGTTTCTAGAATTTTCACACTTGTCTAGGAACTATGTTTAAAAAACATTTAGTACCAACAACCATTCAGCTCAGTTGAAGTTGGGGTGGGGGGGATCTACTCATTGCTACATCTAACTATGATATTTTGATATTTCACACAAGTTTTCGTAATAGCAAACACCATGACAACCCTATAACAGACTCTTTATAATAAGCTGGCTATAATAATACACAATAATACAATGCCCCTTTAGTTAGTTATCTGAACATTATTAGCAAAAAAGATCAAACAAAAAAAACAAAAGCAAAGCAGCTCGATATCCTGTTCCATGACCTTTAAGAGAACAGGGTTCGCCTCCTAAGCAGCAAAATAACAAATTGAATCAAAGGTCTTTAAATTTTTTAGATTTATTATATGAACTTAGGCATTTTGATTACAGTCCTCTTTTTGCAATACAAGAGACATAAACATTTAAGCATCCCCACTGACAATAAAATGGACCACCCCCCCTTTAATTTGACTTTTTTGGCACAAGCTGCACTTTATGAAAATACTACATGCTACATTTCCAGGTACAGGTTTTCCCTTCCCATGATTCTTTATAACATCTACACCTAAACTTTACACTTTCAAACTTCTCATATACGTATTTCCAAATTTTTGTGTTTTTCATCTCAGGGTGTTTTAAACGGATGATCTGTCTGTCATTGAAAAAAAGTATAAAATCAAATGTTAATCAAAATAATATAAATACAAAAAAAAAAAGAAAAAATGCAACTTTGACAGTGATAACATTGTGATCTTTTATTTTTATGTTATAGTTTGTTATTTTTTCCAGTTGGAATTTTGAATGTCAATTAGGGCTGAAATAATGAATCGGATTAATAGATTATTGAAATAATTGTCAACTAATTTAGTAATCAATTGATCCTTAACCGGAGTATAGAGAGTCTAAAACATGTATTTAGCTTACAGAGTAACCCACTTAGATCAGTAATTATACAAAGATTGAAAAAAAATATATAAATATTTTGCATTTATGATTAAATAATTTTTTTTCCGTCTATCAATATGCTCTATCCAGACGTCTACAGTGGAAAAAGTTTGAGTTTCACCTGGAGACATTGTAATCCTTCTTTAAAGAATGTTTGGCTATCCGATTATTAATCGATTAATAAAAAAAAAAAAATGGTTTCATCGATTAGCAAAATAATTATTAGTTGTCATGAAACGGTGTTGGTTGGAGGACCCAAATGCAGAGGCCAGTAGGCAGAGGTGAATGTCAGTGGGTTTATTAAGGTTCACAGGAACTGAGGCAGGAATCAAAATCCAACAGAAAATAACAAACGCACCAGAACCAAGGAGACATCAGGAGTAAACCAAAATTCTAGGAGCCAGGGAGAGACGAGGAAAGCAGACAGACGATTGACGAGGATCCAGCAAACAGGAACTGAAGAGGGAGGGCTTTTAAAGGGGACAGAGACAAAGAGAGGGCTAACGAGGGGATTGAAAACAGGTGAGGGCAGAACAGAAAACAGAGCAAGGGAAAGAGGACACAAGAGGGCAGCAGAGGACAACAAATGGAAAACCAAGAAAAACAGGAGCTAACAAACCAAGACTCTGACATTAGTTGCAGCCCTGATATCAATACAGATTCCTTCTAGTTATGACACAGTTGGCCCCATTTTAGTCAGTAGTGTGCGAGTTGCTCCGAAACAACGATGAAATGTATGCCATTGAGTTCGAGGGATTTATGATAATTGTTTAGAAAGTAATAACAATAATTATTATTTATATTGCACTGTACATACAGTAAGGTGTGCCTTTAAGCAGCTGGATTCACCAAAACCATCTCCTCACATTAACCCCTTGACTCAAACTACTGAGCCATGAAGGAAACATCGGAACCATCTTTCAAATTGTGGAAAAGATGCACACATTTGTCTGCTTCGTTTTAAGAATCCTTTAAAGAAAGCATGATGCTGTGTAAAAACAGATATTGTCTTTAAAGGATTAGATACATGTATGTTGTTAAAGCTTTGGAAAGTCTTGAGATGAGGGAATCTGTTTATTTTAGTTGTTTTTTTTACTTTAAGAGAGTGTAGAGGAAAATATGATTGCTAAAATAGTAAACTGACTCCTGAGATTTTGTGGACAGATATTTTTGAGTAAAGCAGTGAAGTTGATTGGTATTAAACTGTGTCATTTGAACATAAAGTATTATTCCATTAGAACAACATTTGTGTTTGTTTATTCACATCGGTCCTAATTAGTGTATAATGAAATATCCCGTTAATACTGGCACTTACTGATTATGCAGATGATATATGTGTCCATCTCCAGTCTTTAACTTGCAGTTTCCCCTTGGTGATAATACATGCCATTTAATTTTGATGTCCTCATAAACAGCAGCGACAACAGGAAGTGACAATGTGATCACTGTTGGATAAAAGCAAAGTGTATATTTAGATTAGCATAAATACCTACTGCTATAAGTGGGCTAGAGCACAAATATTTAAAAGCCCTGTGTGATTTCATTTTAAGTCAAAACCTAAGGATTAAATTCATTGGAGAGCTGTTTTTGTTGAATAATAGAACAATTGGCATTTTAAATATTTGGCCTTTAGATGAATCCAAGTAGGGCTGCTCAGTGGCACAGTGGGTAGCACTACTGCCTTGCAGCAAGAAGGTTTCGGGTTAGATTTCCCGCCTGGGATCTTTCTGCATGGAGTTTGCATGTTCCCCCTATGCATGTGTGGGTTCTCTCTGGGTACTCCGGCTTCCACCGACAGTCCAAAAACATGACTGTTAGGTTGATGGCTTCTCTAAATTATCTTTAGGTGAGGGTCTTTATGAATGGTTGATTGTCCTGTTTGTCTCTGTGTTTCCCTGCCATGAACTGGCGACCTGTCCTCTCGCCCGTAGACAGTAGGAGATATTCACCAGCACCCCTCGCGATCTGGCTTGGGATAAGCGTGACAGAAATTGGATGGATGGATGGATGAATCAAAGTAACACTGACCAAAGCTTCACTTTGTTATAACACAGTCAAATTCTTACAACACTTCAGTACTTTTAAGGTACCAATGACCATATCCTATTATTTAAAAAAACTTTTAGTGTAGCTCTTTTAAAAGTTCTCTTTTAAAAGAATCAGATGTGCTGTAACACCAGCAATATGAGAAACACAGAGAAGAGCAGCATGTGACTAAAAGGCTCTCTTAATAGTTTTCCGGTTTTCCGGTTTATAGTTTTACACTGAAAAGTAAAGAAAATAGTTGCAAAGGAGACACTATATGCTTTCTGCTATTTTTAGTTGACAAATGTTCTGTCAAATGATTTTCATGATTTTACTAAATTGTATTAAAGCAGAACGTCAAAGATAAGTTAGGTTTAAATAATCATTTAAATAACTAGTCTTACTATACATGTTTAAAGCAGTGAAAAAATACTAATTTTAGCTTCTTCACATTGCTGCATATTTCTCCTTTTACTTTGGTGTCTTTTTTGATCAAATAACTATTATGCCCAAAGCTGTATGAAACTCTTTCATTTGGGGTCACCGATTCTAGCCCACCCCAGCCCAGCAGGGGGCCTTAACCAGTTACAGTTTGCTTTAGTCTGAACCCTGAAAACAATAAAAGAAAAACTTGGTTTTGTCCATTTCCATTACTGTTTTGCTGCTAAACATAAAGATACATACATCATAAAGGAAAGCTAAGCATAAAAAAATTATACAAAAATATTTTAAAATTGATGTCTTGAAAAAAAATTAAAATTAGATACATATCATAAGTCTTTTACTGGATTTAAAACTGAATTACTGCAGAATTTAACATTGATGGTGACTTACCTTCTCTGCAGTGGTAGTCCACAGTCAGGTAGCTCTTTAGATCAGGACAGAGGTCATCAAATGAGCTCATAACTTCACTGATCCTGCAGAATTGACGCTCTTGACATTGATCTTATAAACACAGAATCAGCTCCAGATGTTAATCATCCAAAAGGAATGGTTATATTATAGAAAACATGGTGAATGGGATGAACCAAGTTTGCCAAAATACTAAATAAATTTTTGTCTCTAATCTGGAGTTATTGAGGATGAATTGCTCTCATCAATATGCTGTGTCAAATGTTTTTACTTTATTTCATTCATATAAATGAAGGTGATCTGGAATAACCTGTTTTGCAATTTATGGAGGTATTTTTTCACAATTCAATCTTACCCAGAGCTGCAAAATATTTGAAAATAAGCATTAAGATATTCAATTTAAGTAATTCAACAGGCATAACTCAACAAATCGTAAAATCAAATGCTAAACACTTAAACATTTTCACATTTTTTCATGTTTTAATGACTGACTTCAGTGTATGTTTTTTTGGGATATTACAAACAAACAAAAAGACTTTATTGTGACATGGAAAAAATATGGTGCATGCAAGATTATCTAACAAGAACAGTTAAAGTTATGTCATGTACATTGATTATGCCACCCTAATTTCTCCTTGAATACATGTTTGCTAAAAAAAACAAAAAAAAAAAACAGCTTAAACTGTCAGACTGGATTAACAATGTCATAAAAAAATATTAGTCGTTTAACAAATTCTCACTAAGGTCTGGACTTTGACAGGACTATTCTAAAACTTTAAATATGATTTGATTTAAAACATTTTTTTTTTTTTATGAACCTCTTAGGCCTCCACAGAACAATTGGGATTCCTACTCAGATAAAATAATGTCCTGGTTGATTTTGATTAGCAGGGGGAGTTGGTTTAAAAGGGGCTGAATGCAAATATGTACTTTTAGGAATTATTTTGCGAAATAAGTGTTGAAAGCTTTGTATCATTTTTCATCCACATCAAAATTATTCTATGTATAAAAATGAAAATAAATTTATTTTTAAGACTTTAAGAGTGAAATCTATTTCTGCCTTTCTAATGTCGACTTTGTTGGTCTATAAAGTACACTACTTTATATTACTGTTACCCAGAAGGTCACGTGGAGGTTTTTTCATTGACTTACCCATGGTATTGTTAGCTGAAGTCATGAATGTGTCTTTTTAATGCCAACTTTTAAATAAATATATCAGTGACAAAGGAAGCTGCATAAAGAAACTTCACAACCGAGGAAGGCAAAGAGATGAATTCATGATATTCTGCCTTTGTCATTGGTTGTATGCATGAGTCAATATTTGAAATGGATAGATAGGTATCATTCATATATTTCAAGTGTTAGGCTTTTAAGCAACAAAGGTTTTCTTTTGGAAATGTCCTGATGGACTGTTAGTCTTTTCAAACATGTCCGCAGTTAGATAATGTGTTATTTGAGATAAGAAAAGCAAACATTACATTAAAGGATGGATTGGATTTCTTGCTTCAATTTATCTGAAACCTTTCAAGAGGCATTAAACGGCTGTTTGTTTTCCCATTTCTGAGCACAGCTGAATAAATGAGATGCTATAATTGTTGCACAGATAAGATCGATTCAACTCTGCTTGACATAATATGCAGGAACAAAGATTAACAGCCAAATAATGGACTTATTTGAACCTGTCACATTGTTTTACCTTTAATGGAGGCTGCGACATCCACCCAGCTGCACCTATGCTCTGTGAAGGTTGGTGTGGAGAACCTGGGACGACAATAATGAATGTTGCCCCGACCAAAGAGAGCCCCGTCTATCATTAATGCTTGACCAGAGCCGCACTGCAGAGTGGTGTTGTGACCCAAACATACAATTCTTCTTCCAGGTTCTGAGAAAAAATAAAAAAAAGTTAGTAGAGGTGATCACATTGTGATTCAGTGAGCCGCTTTGCTGTTAGTGTAACTTATAACACATACCAAACTGACAGATGAAATGCATGTTTTGGTTGCAGTCTTCTGTGGCTTCCCACCGAAAGCCTGAGCGTCTCAGTATGTGTCCACAAGTTGTGCCAGGCTGTGGGCTTCTCACCCATTTTGAAAAGGTGAGAGGTGAACCATCGAGCCAAGAGAAAGAAGGAGCTGAGAATAAAGCAAAGTATTGATGAACAAGCACCTAATGTTTTCAGCAGGCAAGGCACAAATAAATAAATATGACACAACGCAGAAAAAAAAAAATTATATATATATATATATTATATATATATATATATATATATATATATATATATATATATATATATATATATATATATATATATATATATATATATATATATATATATATATATATATATATATATATATATATATACATATAATATATATATATATATATACTTTTTAAGCAGAAAAATTAAGACACTGTTGCAGAAATAATTTTTGCTAAAGATAAAAACATAATTTACATTTTTGGTTGATTTTTACAGCACTAGTTGTTCTTGTCTAGGACTAAGGGCATACATGGGTCATGTGCCCTAGACACCGTGCGTCACCAAGGCACACCCGTAATCTCCTTTTTCAATGTCCTGAGCTATTAGTCCTTTAATCCTGGTGACGTACTCTAAGAGGCTGTCTTTGTTACCGTCTTTACGTGCCACTAAAGGTTCAGCTCTGAGTCCATCACTACAACCATTATTTCAGACCTGATTAGTGGTTTATAGCTGTAAGAACTGAAGCTGTGTACTAACCTTTAAACAGTCTTTTTTTTGCTACAAAAACTATTATTTCAATTTTCTCTTGATTAAGCTAAGGGAAAATATTTTGCTCATCCAAAAAATCCCTTGATTTCTTTTATGCATTTACGCAGTGCTTGGATGGGTTTAGACTCACCTGGTGAAGTTGTAATATATAATTGTGTTTATTAAAATCAGAGAAAGGCAGCATATGGATATTGAATAAAAGGGGCATAAGATAGAGACTTTATGCATTCTGCTACTTTCAGCTGACAAATGTTCAGTCAATAATTTTTTTATGATCACAATTTTATAAAAGCAGAACATCAAAGATAAGTTAGGTTTAAATAAACATTTAAATAACTGGTCTTACTACGCATGTTTAAGTTAAGTTTCTTTCTAACAAATATAATTGGAAAATGTGTAGATAAAAAAGCTATTTTTATTTTGAATATCTGATAATATATTTCCATAAGCAAAGAGAGGAGAATATACATAAACAGATTGGCTGGCAAAGGTAAAAGTGCTTTTGTTACACCATGACAGCATCTATACACCCACTGTAGGGTCAAACATGAATGCATATATTATTTCAAATGACATGATTTCAATAATTAGCATGTTTTAGGTTGTAGTCTATGAAGGTATTTAATTAGAAGATATTAATTAAACTTTAAATTAAAGATAATCATTAATGGCTTAAAAATAAATCAAATCAAACATTGTGTACAGTAAACAAGTAGGAGACATTTAAAGTTATAGAAGGAGACCAGGTCCCTCTCCAGAGAACGGTGAAGGATGAAGTAGTTGAAGCTTTAAAATGAAACATTTGATTTGCCAGATGGGTTGCCAGTTATCTTTGTAAATGACTTCATGTTTATTCATTGGTTACTTTTGATCTAAACACAATACAAAGTTAGATATTTCCCCCCAGTAATTTACACAAAATTAATGATGTATCATTAAATGTTATCAAACCTAGTTAGCTATAATCAATGGTCTAGAGAAGGATGCTTAATGGATCTCAGTGTTTTTGAATATCACAGATAACCCACCAGCTAATATTTAGCCTTCTCTTTCTCTGCCATCTTACCTGCAGCATTTACAGACCATTTTAGGGAGCAGGTTGGTGTCAGTCCAAGCCACAGGTCTTTTTCAGAGTCCATGTGTCTCTCAAGGAAATTTTGAGTTTCTATATCTGGGATGTATGCGAGATGTCCACCACTCTTCTCACACCAATCTTGAGCTCTGTGAAAAGAGAGCTGCTGAACTACAAACTCAAAGCATGAACCTCGAAATGTCCTCTGGTCCTGTGAACAGGAAGCTGTAACCCCAGCATCATTCTCAACAGAAGATTGACAGTGGGATGTCAGCAGGATCAGCATGTGCAGAACTGCCCTGCACATCATATCTATTCTCACTTTATCAATCCCAAACTTATCTTCTGCTTCTCAATTCAAGTTCTTCAGGATTTAGAGCAGCTCTCCTCTCTTCTCTCTCACCCAGCGCTGTGACATTCTGCGTTTTAAAGGGCCTGGTCTGAATCTCCCGCTCACATTTTTCTTTGTTTACCTAACATACAAAGTCACACAGAAACCACTAAAAGGTTTTCCTTTGTGCACATACATACATGAACAAAAGAACATCGTCAGGGCCGTTTCAATCAGTCAATAAAGGCACCTGGTTGTTGAGGGTATGCTTTACATGTAACTTATTAAGTCATGTGTTTACTGGGAGTTTGTTGTTAGCCTGACTATTAACAGTTTTTAATGGAGAACTGATTCATCAGAAAAAAAAAACAGCATCCTTGTGTGATTTATTAATGATGTGGATTCCAAATTCGCATAGAATACAACTTAACTAAATTAAATGAATAAAGATGGCAACGTAAGCAAATAAGAGTCAGCAGGCTGAGCTTCATCAGCTCATTGCTCCTCTGTTTACTCAGTTTAATTTCACTTCAGAATGTTTATCATTAGGCATACATTACATTAGAGCACTACAACAAAAGTAAAATAACGTTAATGCTTTCTATTGTTTCCTGTTCCTTTGTACACAACATTGTTCAGAACTGACGTTAAATTGGTTTATTAGCTTTTTAGCTTTTGTCACAAATTAGAATACTATTGAAAGGTTCATTTTCTTTTCAAAAACTACATTCACTCATTGAAACACAGATTGCTATTTTTAAGTCTTTATATTTATTTTCCATTGTCCTTTAAGATAATTTTCCACCAACAAAATTATAATGATTATTATATCAGATTGATAAAAACACTTTATATAGAAAAACAGTCTTTATAGCTCAAGTAATGTATGTTTAATACCTAAATCTAACAAAAACTGTAATCTAACAAAAACTTCCAACTGTTTTTAATGTTCTTTTTTTGTTTCTGCATTTTTTATTTTATTATTTATTTTTATTTTTTTCCTACTTGCTTTGATTCTGTTTTATCATCCTGTATTTTAATCATGTAAAGCACTTTGTACTGAATTGTACTGAATTGTGCTATACAAATAAATTTGCCTTGCCTTGCCTTGCCTTACCTATATACACTATATTGCCAAAAGTATTTGCTCACCTGCCTTGACTCACATATGAGCTTAAGTGACATCCCGTTCCTAATCCATAGGGTTCAATATGACGTCGGTCCACCCTTTGCAGCTAGAACAGCTTCAACTCTTCTGGGAAGGCTGTCCACAAGGTTTAGGAGTGTGTTTATGGGAATTTTTGACCATTCTTCCAGAAGCGCATTTGTGAGGTCGCACACTGATGTTGGACGAGAAGGCCTGGCTCTCAGTCTCCGCTCTAATTCATCCCAAAGGTGTTCTATCGGGTTGAGGTCAGGACTCTGTGCAGGCCAGTCAAGTTCATCCACACCAGACTCTGTCATCCATGTCTTTATGGACCTTGCTTTGTGCACTGGTGCACAGTCATGTTGGAAGAGGAAGGGGCCAGCTCCAAACTGTTCCCACAAAGTTGGGAGCATGGAATTGTCCAAAATGTCTTGGTATGCTGAAGCATTCAGAGTTCCTTTCACTGGAACTAAGGGGCCAAGCCCAGCTCCTGAAAAACAACCCCACACCATAATCCCCCCTCCACCAAACTTTACACTTGGCACAATGCAGTCAGACAAGTACCGTTCTCCTGGCAACCGCCAAACCCAGACCCGTCCATCAGATTGCCAGATGGAGAAGCGCGATTCGTCACTCCAGAGAACGCGTCTCCACTGCTCTAGAGTCCAGTGGCGGCGTGCTTTACACCACCGCATCCGACGCTTTGCATTGCACTTGGTGATGTATGGCTTGGATGCAGCTGCTCGCCCATGGAAACCCATTCCATGAAGCTCTCTGCGCACTGTTCTTGAGCTACATGAAGTTTGGAGGTCTGTAGTGATTGACTCTGCAGAAAGTTGGCGACCTCTTCGCACTATGCGCGTCAGCATCCGCTGACCCCGCTCCGTCAGTTTACGTGGCCTACCACTTCGTGGCTGAGTTGCTGTCGTTCCCAAACACTTCCATTTTCTTATAATACAGCTGACAGTTGACTGTGGAATATTTAGGAGCGAGGAAATTTCACGACTGGATTTGTTGCACAGGTGGCATCCTATCACAGTTCCACGCTGGAATTCACTGAGCTCCTGAGAGCGACCCATTCTTTCACAAATGTTTGTAAAAACAGTCTGCATGCCTAGGTGCTTGAATTTATACACCTGTGGCCATGGAAGTGATTGGAACACCTGATTCCAATAATTTGGATGGGTGAGCAAATACTTTTGGCAATATAGTGTATTATGTCTGTTAAAAATTCTTTTGTTATTGACTAAAGAATACTGTAGTCTACATGGTAAACTCTTCACACCGGTATATCTAAAAATTAGTAGTGGGTATAGATTTGTTTTTTTAAATCTAGATTATTCTCACTGCAATCTTGGAATTAATCTAGATTAACCTAGATTAAAATGGCTCATTTGAATTCTGCCAAAGGGCTTCATGAATCAGAATCAGAATTACTTTATTAATCTCTTGTGGGAATTTTTTTCTGGCAGTGCAACCATTTGTGGAAGAGAGAAAAATAAGATTGTAAATTCAAATAAGATATAAGAATGCAATACGATAAGGAAAATAATAAAATAAGATAAGGATAATATGTGTGTGCTGCCTAAATTATATGTAATAGTAAGTCTTTGAACAGGTTTCTCTTGCCAAGTGGCTCGTTAGACAAGGTGCTCATCTCCTGTTTCCAAAATGCATCACAAACTGCTGGAGAAAGCTTTTGTACTATGATAACTGGTGATGAAAATAAATAATATTCAATAAGATTTATTTTTGTTTAATAAGTGTTTATTCAGATAAACATGAATTCTGAACTGTAGGCCTACATAATAAGTCATGATGAACTGCTTACCGTCAATAGCTTCAAAACTGTCCTCTTTTGTACGCCAATTTTTAAACACAGAATTTTTTTACACATTAAATTCCTTATACTGCATTTATATCTGGTAAAAATTTGCCTACAAAAAATTCAGCTGCAAAAAATTCAGCTGCAAAAAATTTGCCTGCAAAAAATTCAACTGCAAAATGTGTTGACCTTTTGGTGAACTCAAGCCAAAGCAATCAACAGTCAATGCAGTCGAGCAACTTCTAGCTTCAAGCACGTGACACAACAGGGGCATAGCTTTGTTCCAGGCTCAATGAAGCTGATAAGGAGTTTATCTTGTTAAATAGATATGATTACAAAACGTCAGGTAGCTACTAAAGGTCAGTCATTAATTATTCATCTAATCAGACTTGGTGAAATAACTGAGCCAATCACAGCTAGTGCGGCACCCCTGTCTGCCAAGAAGCAATCTTCCTTTTTTTTTCTGACCAAATGAGCAAATTTCATTGGCTAGAAGCTGCTCAACTCTATCGAGTGTAGATTGCTTTGGCTTGAGTTCATCAAAAGGTCAACACATTTGCAGACCCTTTTTTTGCAGCTCAAGTTTTTGCAGGCAAATTTTTACCAGCTATTTTTTTTGCAGTTGAATTTTCACCAGATAAAAATATCAGCGTACGGAATTCGATGTGTAAAAAAAAATCAGTGTTTAAAATTTGATGTATAAAAAAAGGCAGATTTCAATAAACCTGTTTTACTTCCATTATATGGGTGAAAAGGTCACTATTTTATCCTAGTTTTGTGTTAAAGAGGGTTGTTTGTGTTAGTAATCTGTTCATGCGAAGTTAACATTATGTTCTGGAACAAGCAGTGAGTCACACTGCTTGTTATAGTGGAACAAGCAGTGTGACTGGATAGGGTGACTTCCCACCCATTCGAGCAATTTTCATTTTCATTTTGAGGATAAACTTTGCTCTGGGCGGTGGTTATTGAGTAAACCTATTAAAACACCTGTTCGTTACTGGTTCATAGCAAAGCCTGCCTGACTGTTCTCCACCACTGAATAGCTAATGTCATTTGCCAGGGTGTTTACAACAGAGAACCGGTGTAGTGGTGCCATAAAAATTATGCTAGATTTAGCAGCAGGTGGATCAGGTTTGATAAATGTAGCGCTGACGATCAGTGCGTTCTGGTTGGAAGTGTTGGGAGCTGGAGAAGTTCCACCTTTCTCCAGCAGAGTTCGCCGTGGATCCTTCTGAGGGAGCTTCCAGCACAGCTGCAGCCCATCAAGATCATCAGAGGATCCACTACTTAAGCTGTCTTCAGACCTTGCCTCAACGCCGCAGTGTTGATCCAGTTGGTCAGCGCCTAAGCCTAGATCCTCAGTGTAACTTTGTGACTTTGAATCCAGCCTGGATTCTAACCGTTGTCTCTGTCTTCCAGGAAACCAGTGTCTCCTCTGTGAAGCTCAGGAAGAGCTAACCTGCCGAGCCGACCCTCTGAGCCAAACCTGAAGAATCATAGTGAACTTCCATGCAGCTCTGGACTAAGAGCTGGAAAACCCAAAGCCAAGGTCTGTTCATTGTTAGACGTAAGACGCTGAAGCAGCAAGCGGACTCTGCTGAACTACTCCTCTCCAGATCCAACAGTGACTCTCCCAAAGCCTACCTCAAGAACCCTCAAGGTACAATCAGTTATCATCTGGAAATCTAGATCCTGCTAGCAACGCTAACTGAACTGTCTCTCACGCAGACTCCGGTGAACCAGTGTCCAGGCCCGAACCAGAACCAGTACTTTCTGTGTGCTTGTGTCAAAATAAACTTGTTGAACTTTTATTCCTGTGTCCGTCAGTGGTGTTCTGCATACTTGGGTCGCTATTAGTGAACCCATCATGACAGGAAGTGGAATCTTTTAATGATGCTGGAGGCAAAACCACTGCTTTTGGGATTTAGCACTTGGTGCAATTCAACTCTACACACTCTCTTTATCCAATGCGCCAGTTGAAAGAGTTTTTCAACAAGTTGCTCTGCTTAAAGTCAAGTCCAGAAATCGCATGGGCCTGCCGATCATGTCAAGTTTGATGCATGTGCAAACTGGACTAACACGGAACGGA